GCGTCATGCTATCCCATTCTATGAATTTCGCAGGTAGTTTTCAAACCTCCTATAATTTTCACCACTAATTTGCCATTCACGTAAAATGGAATCTGTTTCGGCAGATTGTCGAGACTGATAATTATCTGACGTTGAAGTCTTTAATAGCACTTTAATCAGGCCAGTGTTTTAGTGCAATTGCCCATTGGTGATGTCAGGCGCTGTCTGTGGCACATGTAACAAAAACGGTGGGTCATGCAACAGTATCTCTGGCAATCTAACAATCCCTGGGACATGCAGCAATACCCCTGGGACATATCTTTGGGACTTGTAACAATATCTCAAAGTCATGTCACTATACCTCTGGGACACGTGGCAATACCTTGGGTCAAGTAATGGTAATCTATGGGCATGTAACACTATCTGTTGGATATGTAACAATTCATATGGGACATGTAACAATTCCTATGTCAACGTAAAGATTACTATGGCAATGTAAAGATTCCTATGGGACAAGTAAAGATTCCTATGGGACATGTAACGATTCCTATGGGACAAGTAAAGATTCCTATCGGACATGTAACGATTCCTATGGGATATGTGACAATTCCTATGGCAATGTAATGATTCCTATAGGATATGTTAAGATTCTTGTGGGACAAGTAAAGATTCCTATAGGACAAGTAAAGATTCCTATGGGACATGTAACGTTTCCTATGGGACATGTAACGATTTCTATCGGACATGTAACAGTTCCTATTGGACATGTAACGATTCCTATGGGACAAGTAAAGATTCTTGTTTGACAAGTAAAGACTCCTATGGGACAAGTAAAGATTCTTGTGGGACAAATAAAGATTCCTATGAGACAAGTAAAGATTCCTATGGGACATGTAACGATTCCTATTGGACACGTAGCAATATCTCTGGGGCTTGTTATGATACTGACCAGCAATAATGCATTAAAAGTTCATGTAGTTATGCTACACATACAAATCCCAAGCATCAGCTCCAGACTATGACAAAACAAAATAATTTTCAAACAAATTTATTTCATCTTATCATATATTCTTTTCAGAAGGTAAACCATAAACATAAAATCACACAATTCAAAGAAAAGTCTAGAATTTCTGTTTTAAGCAGCAAAATGACAGTTAGTTATATCTGGAACCTATTGTAACTAAACTTGTGACATAGATACGAATCTAGCACCGATTATTGTCCATAAGTCTGTCTTTTGTGCCTTCAGTTAAATCATATATAGCAATGATGGGTAATCAAATTCTATTGTGTGGTTGCATTAGTTTCAAAATAAACTTTAATCGTCATTGAACTTCAACAACTTTGAAGTTTCATGCTTCTATATACCTTACTAACAAAGTTATATCAACTTCCAGTTTAATGACATCACTTCCGGTTCTGGAAAACATGAGCAATGCAGTACAACCTTGAAACAAAGTCCTATGCTTCAAGATATGTTACAAACAAAGCTTTAAGCTCTTCCAGTAGAATGACATCACTTCTGGCTTTGCGGTACAACTTTGAAACAGAAAGTCCTATGCCTGTTGTTACCTTAACAACAAAGCTATGAAGCACTTCTGGTACTATGAAGCTATGAAGCACATTGACCTTCAATCTCAGCCATGAACTCATTAGAAATAATGTTTATAAAGTTTCTTCAAACTCCTAGTCTAAATGCAGATGTGTGTACATGCTTTTTGGGACGTGTACTTCACACCAAGTGACCTTGACATCAAAAGTCAGTCCTGACGTCAGTCCGACGTTTTATAATTTGACCACAAATAACCTTGACATGATACAGATGATGATATCATCGAGACCCGCCTTAGAGATCATGTATACTAAGTTTAATCAAATCCATTCATAAATACTTATCGTGTACACAATCTTTTTGGAAACCAGGTTCATACTTGACCTTCAATGTCTTCCAATCACAGGTCCTTACTAATGGATATTTGTTTTACAGTTATTAAATGTCAAACATTGAAGGTAAGAATCAATATTGTTTTTACTTCGTGTGCGACTGTGATCGTTAATTGTATCGAAAAATGAGTTTTGCTATCAACCAATGCATCGGTGTATCATAGCTCTACTACCCAAAACCACTTCCATTCAGCTTTAATCGGTTGATATTTGAAATGAGTGAGTGAGTATGGTTTTACGTTGCTTTTAGCAATATTCCAGCAATAGCACAGCAGGGGACACGAGGTATTGGCTTCACACATTGTACCCACGTGGGGAATCGAACCCGGACCTTCAGCGTGACGAGGGAACGCTTTAACCACTAAGCTATCCCAGCACCCCATATTTGAAATGAACATATGGGTGAATGAAATTGACAACAGTGGTTAACATTGACTAACATGCATCAACTGTCAAGGTTGCATACTGACATCACATATTTGAAAGGCATCCAGTTATGAGGTATATTATGATAAGGCCAGGTAACCAGAATGGTTTAAAGCATATGGGTCTGTGAATGTGATATAACATTGTGGTCAGCAATATTACAGCAAGGCCATGACAGCAATAGCACAGTAACATCCACTCAGGATCTTGGCCCCGTTCCTCAAAGCGATCTTAGCACTACGATGATCGTAAGCCTATGTTAAAGTATGGGACTTACGATCACCTTAGTGCTAAGATCGCTTTGAGGAACGGGGCCCTGCTTCATAACACACACCTTCATTAAACAAATCACTTCCAATAACAAACTGCACCATCTTAAAGAGCTCATCTTCCCAAGTCAAGGGAGTTAACTGACTGAAGTCCATTTTCCACCCTTGCCGAACAAGGGTGGAATACTGGGCCAGCAGTGGCTATTACAAGTTATGTCCCGTCTATGTCCTTCCTCTTGACCAATCAGAATCCACCTCTCATATCACTTGCATTTGCTTCAAACAAAATTGCAGCCCCCAGTGAAGACAATCTGATATTGTAATAAAACAGGTCTTACCTCGTGAAGTGCATCAAATCATATGAGCACCTTGATTAAAAAGATGAAAAGATTTGGAAAACGTCTGTTGACGCTTAATTGATGGTGCACATGCTTTGCAAATCCTGCAATCGACCGAAATCTCGAAGGCAGTTTACGAACCAGATGTTGATTTCGTTACGCGATTTTGAATGGACTATGAAAAGACTCGTTAGTCCAGCCAAAACATAACTGCACATTTCCAGCCTAGATCGTCAAGGTCGGAAACTGGACTTTTATAGTCAGTTAACTCCCTTGCCTCGAGAAGATGTAAGAGCTGGGATTAATAACACTTTGAACAGAGATTTCTGTTATAACACTCTATGTGAATTTGATGTTGGAGAAAAGTGATGCACATCTTAGATTTTTACCACTTTGGTGAAACCAACAAGCACAGATATGATGCTGATATACAAAGAAACATAATCAGACCGAACCAGGATTCAAACCCCAATCATAGCTTCCTGGCATGCCTAAGGGACACAACTCTGCACAGTGAAATGTGGTGCCTTTGACAACTGGGCCACCCGTGCCCTTGCTGAAGAAACTAAGTCCTGAAACAAATGCATCCTGAAATTTACTCATAGGTCGAAAAAATTAGTTCTGTAACATATGTCATAACCATAACAAATTCTAGAATAATAATTTTTGTCGCTCATATACTAGTATGTATGAGCTACACCAAATATTTGCAAAGTTTGAATTGAATAGTAAATTCCCTGTCTTGTTAGTAATTTTGAAACTTAATGCAAGGTGAGTGAGTGAGTGAGTGAGTATGGTTTTACGCCGCTTTTAGCAACATTCAAGCAATATCACGGCGGGGGACACCAGAAATGGGCTTCACAGATTGTACCTGTGTCGGGATTCGAACTCAAGTCTTCGGCGTGACGAGCGAACGCTTTACCCACGAGGCTACCCGACCGCCCCTTTAATGCAAGGCAATTTTCTCCCCAAAATGTTAGTACTTTAAAACTAACAGTCTTTTTCCAAATAATTTTCTGAAAGATATCAATTAATCATTTGGTCTTCTTTGTAATGTGTGCAACTGACCTGCATTTTAAAATTTGGGTTCAGACAACACACATTAACCACATTGCTGATGTCATTCTCAGTTCTTTATAAAACATACCACACAACTTTTGATAGGGATAATCAGGAAATGGCATTCCATTTAAATACACGTCATCATAAATTAACCATTATATTAATGATATCTACATCTACGTAGATGATACCTACATCAATGTAGATTATACCTACATCTATGTAGATGGTACCTACATCTTCGTAGATGATATCTACATCTACATACATGATACTTACATCTACGTAGATGATACTAACATCTAAGTAGACGATACTTTCATCTACATAGATGATACTTTCATCTACGCAGAAGATACTTTCATCTTCGTATGTGATATTATAATCATGCGTATCGTTATTCAGACTGTGATATTGTCTTGTGCAGTTGCGACCCCAGTTGGATACAAACATTTATACTTTTAATAAAGGTAATTACTTAATTACTGTTAATTTAAATGTTCGGGTGCATGTTGGTTGGCTAATAGCAGAATTGTACCTTCAGTGCTGAATTCAAGGCGACGAAAGCCGAGATGTCATTTGACTTATATTACACGCGATCGCACGAAACGATGGAAATAATAACTTAGATGTAAGTTTGATTACTTTTAGATATATTTTTGTTGATTTTATTTATCACTTTGTATAATATATTTAAAGATTTGCTTAAAATAGTCTTTATTTTGCTCTTTGACATGTTCGATGCGGACCCGTTGTCGAAATGTGTGTCCGAGAATTTTATTTTCAATAACATCGCGGGAAATAGTGAATAATTTTTTAATTTATTGATAAAAAATGATAAATTAGAATGGAATACGTATTTCAGACATTGTGAAATATGACAGATTTAATAAATGAATGATATTACAGGTAGATCTAGGTCCATAAAAATATATACTATTTTGACGTGACGTGAGATAAACACATAGGCCTATTGATGATTTGAGATTTGCCGAGCGCGCTCCCCCGCCTCGGCCTCGGTTAAACGGCTCATCGTCTATAACGCCCACCAATTATTTGGACCCCATTGGTAGCGCAATAGCGAGCGATCACTGTATATAGGATGATGACGAGTATCGCTTTGATATAGGTTTATAGTTTGAATGATTCTAACCCCTTCATATTCACGTTTTACCTCTTAAACCTAATTTCCGTCATGGAGAAATCATGAGGATCAACATATTCCTCCGGCTTTAACCATGTTTTGGTTGATATGTGATTTCGCTAAAATTTTGAATAATGATCTATAGCAGTTTATTTGTTTGTAGTTTGGATAACGTTTTGTGCTCTCCTCTCTTTATTACGGTTGTAAGAGAGTATGGGTGTGTCATTCTCCAGTAAATTCCACATATTGAAATAAGATTTACTTTATACAATGTTTAGATAATACCTTAGTAAAGACATGTCAAGTCAAACAAATCGGTCATTATTAATTAAGCCAGTGGTTATATATAACTGACCCGGAACTAGTGTCGATTACTCGAGACAATATTGATACCTAGATGAAAGAATCTTCTACATAGATGGAAGCATCATCTACATAGATTATAGTATCATCTACGTAAGTGTAAGTATCATCTACGTAGATTTAAGTATCTTCTACGTAGACGATACTTTCATGTACGTAGATGATAAAAAAATTTAGACTGTGGAACTAATACGCTATATACATAATACCTGTGTGATCCTACTGGGAGAGCAGGAATATTTTAATGCATTACACTACTTATGAACGTTTCCAAATAACTAACAAACATTACCAAAACATTTTCAAAGTATGTAAAATACCAACAATTAGACAAATCAAACAGATATTCCCTAACATGCTATTTAAAAGAAGGTACAGACCCCCACTTCTTTCGTATTACTAATGTGAATCAACAGAGTCATTTCAACAGATTATGACAGATTAAATACAGTGACATGAAAGAATTGGGTGTTCCTTATCTTCTTTTGAGTAGTATACAATGTGAAATGACAAATTAACAAAATGTTTAAAAAATATAGAAATATCAAATAAAGCCTTTTGGAAAACTTGACTAAACTGGAAAATATTGTAGTGTTACCTTTGTTACCTTACACTTTACTCAACAGTTTAAAAACCAAGAGAGGAGGGCTTCTTCAGTGTGCAGAGTTGTGTCCCTTAGCTTCTTCAGAGTGCAGAGTTGTGTCCCTTCATTACCACACCAAAGGTCCAGTAAACTTACCATATTCGTCGTAATATGTACCCTGAAGGTTTAGAAACTTGAAAAAACAATTTGCTATTAAAACTATACACAAGTTTAATGTGTTTCAGAGATTTTCCAGAATAAAACTAAAAGCACTAAAGCACTTCTTGACCCTTCATCCCTGATATAGGCGCAAGAAGTCGCCCTGATAAGGCTTACAAACAATAAAGAAGTTGTTAACCAAAAGAAATTTCATGGTGCCAGGTTAATTTACCTTGTAAATACAAACTGGTTTCAGGAACTCTCCACAGCTCTCTGAAAGCGCTGACATTATTATACTATTGATATCCTGATATCATATACTGAATCAGCTGGTGCAGACAAGAATAAATGCAATAGAACAAGGGAACTTGTCATTAATATCGAATTCAATACAGGCCTCAAAGTTGTGACAAAAACTAATCTAGTATCATAAATTGAATCATTCTTCGAGTCAAAAGCAACAAAAATCAAGTACAGTTTCAATTAATATACAATTCCATGACTAGTGCAGTAACTTGTACATATTGTAATAGTTATTTGATCAAATGCTTTTGGCTACCTACAATATTGGCTTGACTTCTTGATTTTAACACTGGCTACCTGGAAAAAATACTTGTAGCCATATGGCTACTTGGTAAAAATGTAAACTTTGAGGCCTGCAATATATAATGAATACAATATAAATGCCATGGATATCAAACGTGTGACAAAGAACTGAAATTTTACTGATCACTACATGTAACTAAAATGACAATCTCGTTAATATTAGATCTTAGTTCTTGCTACTGCTAAACAAAGATCTGAGGACATCCCATTACAGGTCACATCAGAAGGACCTTTCATCCAACCAATCACTTGCCAGATCAGAAAAGGGATTTGAAACCAGTCTGCTTTCTGACTGGCTAATATCAACTTCTTGTTCATTTCATTGGTCAGTCAAAGTTCTCAAGGTCGTTCTGACGTGACCCTCAGATCTTTGTTTAGCAGTAGCGAGAACTAGGATCTGATCTTGAAGAGATTGCTATAATGAAAGACTCATGGGATTAGTTTGCTCTTATCATACTCCAATCTATGATAATATAATTTGATTAACATTTACAACATTTGAAGTAACAACAAATGCAATACATATGATGCTAACACCATTAATGTTTGAGGCTTTGTAGAACAAGTACCCGACCGACAACCTTATACCTAAACATATTGGAGATAATATTTAAGAGCAATAGACAAAACTCTTGCAATAAGTAACAAAATATCAAGAACCAACTAAATGCAACACATACTGATATGTTCCTGACAGAAACTAAATACAGGGTGCGTTATCTGAAATCGAAGCCAGGGGGGGGTTTGATAGGAGAGGTCTGTTCACTAGATACTTTTGCATTATCGGAACTAGCATTGAAACCGGGCGGGGGGCCCTTTATATGTATACCTGGTGGTGAATTAATGCCTGGAGGTGGGCCCTGTACCTTGGACATGTTTTCAAGATTTGGAGGGTTACTGTTTTCTTTTGAAGATTCAGAATTTTCATGATAATCCTTAGTACGAGGAAATTCTTTTCTTTCGTACCTTCTGTCGTATCTCCTGTCTTTTTTAAATTCATTGTATACATTCATTCCTTTGTTGCCATCATTTTCTTCATCTTTTGCTCTAGCTCTCCCTCGACCTGACCTTGAATGACCTCCTCGACCTTGACCTCGACCTCTTGAAAAAGTTGTACCAGCTTTAGAACCTTTGTAATCATGATTTGCAGATTTAGGAACATGTATTCTTTCGTCGTCCCAGTTTTCTGTGGTGGATGACCCCTGACCTTTCTGTTTTAGATGTCCTTGACCCTGCCCATCGGAATCAGCCTTACCTCGAGTCCAGTTCCTACCTTGGGAAGGTTTGCTACTATAATATCTATCACCTCTCCAGTTTGCCTTCCCATAACTTCTATTACTATATGTCTGTTCTTCTTCAAACTCTTCTCTCCTCTGACCGTCTTGTCTTGGACCATCTCTCCTTCTATGGTCCTTCCTCTGTTGACTCCTAGGGGCCTTGCCATCACTTTTCTCCACATCAGTCCCTTCGTGGTTCCGGCTCTCAGAATGAGAAGATTTATAAATCCTTTCACCACTCTCAGCATGACCTCTCTCCTGACTTTCATTCTTAAAGGATTCTTCACGATCAGACTCTTGTTTCCCTCTTGTAGCTGAACCACCTAGATCAGTCCTTTCCTCCTCCCAGTTTTCACTGTGATCATTATCTCTGCCCTGAGGGTGTCGTCGGCTCCTGCCGAACCCATCCCCTGCCTCCCTGCTCCAATCTCTCGGACTACTCTTCCTGTACTCCCCATTTTCCATCCTAGTTCTGTCCTTGTAGTTTTGACCTCTTCTTTCAGTTTTAGTTTGTGTTCCCATCCCTGATTCTGATTCAGGGGACACTACTATATCCTCACTTGGTCTTTCTTTACCCAAGGGGATTTCACCATTGTTCACAACACTGTCCATTTCATTAGCATTATTTGAATTCCTATTCCCATTCCTCACAAATCGTTTTCTTGTTGGTTTAGAATGATTTTTTTCAACATTTTCAACTTCATTCAACATCTCAGAATGATCAAAAGCATCCTTTTTCACCTCTGAATGGTCGTTCCTGCCCTTTTCCCTTCTCTCTCTGTCAGTATTTCTCTGATAACCTTCAAATCTTCTTCCATCTCTCTGATCCCTACCTGATCCACCCCTCTGATTCTCTTCTCCATCATTTCTTCTTCTCCATTTATCTCGGTCTCTTCCTCCATAGTATTCTTTTCTTCTCTCTCTACCAAAATTGTTGTCTCTTTCTCTCCGCCCACCATCGTGTGACTTTTTCTCAGAAACATGGGAAGTAACTCTATCCACTTTCTGAGAGTTGTCTCCCCCTTTCTGTTTACTTTCCGTTGTGGAGTTCATGTGTTCACTGTTTGGACTCTTTCTGCCTTGATAGCCACTATTTGGTCTATCTCTCCTTGGATAGCCTTTATATTTTGCAACAATTCTATCATTTTGCCGATGTCGATGATCCGATTTGGTCATTTCAGACTTAGAATCTGCATCTTTGGCTTGCTTCTCGTGTTCATTCTCATCTGTTTTTTCTTTTTCTACTTTGAGGTTTACGACTGTTTCCTGAAAACAAATAGAGACTGATAAATACCTTTGTCAACAGTCAAAAAATCATTCTAGAACTAAATTCAGGGATGAAATTATTTTTTTTCAATGTTAGCCTTGAGTCTGAGGGTATATATGATTTATGCATATATTGCAGTGGTATGAATCCCAAAAGTGACCCTTGATGTAACGAAATGCACAGAATTCCCACCCATGCATATTCACATAATTCGTCATCATCCTTAAAGGAAAAGGAATGCAATGGAAATAGAATCGTAGGCAATCACGTTCCAGACCTATCAGTGAGTGCATGTTGTTTTATGACAAACAAGTGCAAAGTAAGCAATATTACAGCTACATAACAACACACTTTTCTTGCTTTTGTGAGTGGACTGCATAAATATGAAAATATTCAGAATGTTTTGAAGCCAATATTTCATATATCAATGTCATTTGATGAGTGGAGAGCGAGTTGGGTTTAACTAATCCGGACTGATATCGATTTATAGTGCTAGCTCACTGAGATACCATTAATGACGAGTGCCAGCCAAGGTAACAACAAGTAGCATCTCTTCAACCCCGGACCTTCCGCTCTCCGGGCAGACGCTCTACCACTAGCCACGGAGGCGGTCGCTTGATGTAGAAGGAAAGCCTGAGGCGATGCAGATTTTAGACACACACATGGTTGGGTAACCCACAAGCAGGGCTATGATGCTGACAAACCTAGTAACTTAATCGGTTCCAAATGGGATATGAAACCACGATTCTAGGTTTCTGGCGTGCCAAAGGGATGCAACTCTGCACAGCAAGTTAGATGACTAGGTCTCCTGTGCCCCACACCAATTATAAGTGACAACGCACATACATATCATCTCATAGTTGAGGGATGTTTCTTGAATAATCAAAACAATTAAATTATAGGCAGTAAAAACCTAATCACTAGTCAGCATGAAACAAAAAATTAAAAATGTAGACTTATTTCAAGTAACTTCTCCAGTATTCCTACCCTTAAGGGCGATATTCAACAAATAGTACATCTTATGACTTCTTGGGATATGGCGCAAGGGAGATAATAATCAACAATATATAGATCAATAAGCGACTTAAGTCACAACTACGATGACCATTTAAAATGTTCGCTTAGGACAAGTAAACATCCAATGAGGTGAGGTGAGGTGAAATGGGGTTTAACTTCGCGTCCAAGATTATTGCACTTATATAGCGACGTGCATGTACGTGTGTGTGTTTGTGTGGCTGCTTGTACTAGTCCAGACTGATGCCGATTTATAGTTCTAGCTCACTGAGATACCATGCCGCAATTTAACATGAATACCCCACTCAGACACAGTATACTGACTCCGGCCAGTGCTTGTTTTAGCCCCTTAATGCCGAGTGCCAGACAGGGTAACAACAAGTACCATCTTTTAACGTCTTTTGGTATGACGCGGCTTGGGATCGAACCCCGAACCTTCCGCTCTTCGGGCGGACGCTTTACCACGAGACCACAGAGGCGGTCAAACATCCAATGATGTTAGTCTTCATTGACTATGAGCATTTGAGGGCTTTAATTGCATAACCAGTTGCTGCAAATTGAAAACAAAATAAACAGGAACTTCACTAAAACATTGTTAACATTTTATAGTCTTTGTCAAGCAGGACTAGCTACAAACTCTGATTACAAGTGAAATAAGATTTCCACTCATTTCTAATATAGTTCCAAATGTACTTAAGAGTCCGAGTTGTTTTCGAGCTGCTTACCTCATTGACGAGAAATCTGTTCTTCTCTGCCTCCAGGTCAATGATTCCTCCCTTGGCCTTCTGCTTGGCATACAGATCCGCCATGTCCCGCTGCAGCTGCACCATCGCAGACGAGGGAGTGTAATGGACCGCATCAGCATCCGCTGCAGGGGCTTCCTTCAACTCATCAAGGTCGAAGGTTATCTCATCTCGACAAACAGGACACACCACCTGAATGAGGAGAAGTGAGGAAGGAATTCCAGAAAACCAAATAATTTGTCACAAGCTGATTGACTAACATAACAGGATTTGGACAATCTCAGTAAAACCAGATCTGCGTCTCCTTACCGCTAAACAAAGATCTGAGGTCATCCCATTATAAGTCACGTCAGAATGACCTTTCATCATTGTTCATCCGACCAATAAGAGCATTGCTTACCAAATCAGGAAAGTGACAGTTAGAATGTGTTTTCTAATTCTACGACCTCGAAAAGGTTAACACCAGGCATTCCGAACGACTGTTACGGGCTGTACGACTGGTTCTATCATAATCTATTTCTTACTTCAATGGGATAAACATTTAAAACTAAGAGACTTTCCATAGCCAGTGGGAAGTACTGCCATACAATATCGGGCATCTTTTAGACATTCCAGAATGTTCTTTTGCTCAGTTTTCAAATTTTGAATCAAAACCTTTGCCAAAATATTTTAATCTTGAAAGGAAGTCTCCAGTTTGAAACTTGTGCCACATAGCTCGAGAAAACTACTTTCTGATTAGCTAATGTCGACATCTTATTAGTATTTCATTTGTACAGTCAAAAGTCATAAAAGGTTATTCTGACGTGACCTGTAATGGGATGTCCTTAAGATTCTTTAGTAGTGGAATGAGCCCTAAAACATGATTTTTTCCGTAACTGCCTGCTAAGAGCTTCTAGTTTAGAATCCTAGATCAATCCCTGGAAGAAACAAATGTATTTCTAAGTCGAGAGTCCTGGGCCCACTTGCACAAAACGATCTTAGCGCTAAGACTTTTGTAAGCCTATGTTAAAGTATGGGAGTTAAGATCATCTTAGCGCTAAGATTGCTTTGTGCAAGTGGACCCTGGTCCCCTGCCTACCTTGGGTTGTGGGCGCTCGTTGTTGAGATGCATGACCTTGACATCAGGTTCTTGTGTGAGGGCGTGTTCCACGTATCTGGCCAGACAGGCCATGTGAAAGTAGTGGTAGCAGTCAGTGCGTGTAAACATGTCCCCCTCGTGGAAGTGCTCCATGCACACAACACAAGGGCACCTCGGGATATTGCCTTCCGTCAGGATCTCCTTGGCCATCTGGACATTGGGACATGATTTTATCAGAGATCTATTTGATAGGCGACACTTGGATATAGTCTGGATGTACAACGATACAGCAACGAAAATCTGGGTACAAGTCTGTACATCGATTTGTACCCAGGGTACATTGTGATGGTAATAGTCTGGGTATACAACGAAAATCTGGGTACAAGTCAGTACATCGTTTTGTACCCAGGGTACATTGTGATAGTTATAGTCTGGGTATACAACGATACAGCAACGAAAATCTGGGTACAAGTCAGTACATCGTTTTGTACCCAGGGTACATTGTGATAGTTATAGTCTGGGTATACAACGATACAGCAACGAAAATCTGGGTACAAGTCAGTACATCGTTTTGTACCCAGGGTACATTGTGATGATAAACTCACCGAGAGTTTGTTTGTTTGTTTGTTTGTTGTTTAAAGCAGCACTCAGCAATATTCCAGCTACATGATTACAGCCTGTAAATACTCAAGTCTGGACAAGACAATCCGGGGATTGACATCATGAGCATCGATCCATGCAATTGGGATACGATGACATGCATCGACCAAGTCAGTGAGCCTGACCACCCAATCCCGTTAGTCGCCTCTTATGACAAGCATAGGTTGCTGGGGAATCATATTCCTACCCAGAATGCCCATGGGTGTGTCACACATATGAATGTGGCTGGTGTGTACAACATTTTTACATTCTAAGTGACCGAGTGCCCACCTCAATAAGTTCATACAACATGGCTCCACCTGTCCTTTCTTCAGCCAGGTCATGCATGTCCTCCTGTAGTCTGGAGTAGACAACATCATTTCAGCATCATCTACATCTTCAATAACTTCTAATAATCAGGGATGTGAGCAGGTTTTCCCAAGAAAAGAGGAAAAGTCTAGGGGTGTCTGGGGGCATGCCCCCCCCCCATAAATTTTTTAAACATTTGATTGCATTTTACGCAATTTTGTGCAGTTTGGACAACATTCACACCAAGAAATGTAATTAAATTAAGTCAATGGCAAAAGTAAGCAAGTCAAATAAACAAAGATGGCAGATGCAGTAAAATTTCGAAGTTAAATCAGTACTTTTAAAAAATCGGACATAGCTTCCGTGCACACGGCTACCCGCCAGATCTGGGAGCAATACTGCCATAAACTTCAACCTCCATCCCCCAGACACAAGGACAACTGTCGCAAGTGTGCAATGTCTGCACCTTTTCTCCCATTACTAATTATCATATCTCACCAATCGATCGGCCGTTACATAAATCTGCACTTTTCAGCTACATCTATGGGGAACAACTAAATAGACACTTCCCTCTTAAAAATAATTACGACATCATCAAGTTGCGAGCTCATGTTCGAATCTCCAGCCTGAATTTCTTTGTTTTTCTCATTTAATTTAGTAGCAATAACGTAGAAGTCCCATTCTGCTTTAAAATTCTTCCAGTTAGTGGAAACATCACCCGTAAGTTTCATTTCTTGCGGTGCAGGAATGTGTTACGACGCCATTATGGAATCAACGTGTTCTCAACAACAAACTCTTGATAAGAGTTTGAAAGTTCTAAATATCTGCAATGTCAGGCGTTTACCGTGCTTTTAAAGTTCATCAACGGAATCAGCCACTTCTGACACCATGTTTCACTTGATCAATCAGCGTCAAGATACTTAATATCAGCTTGATTGATTAATAAAAATCAAAAACTAAGTCTTCATTTGACTCATGTATTCAGAAACATGCTACATCCGGTTACAACGCATTACGTCACAGGAAGGTAATTCCCGTGCTATATATAGATTGTATAAGGGAATTCCACATGCACCAACAAACATCATCAAGTTGCGAGCTCATGTTCGAATCTCCAGGATGATGTCATGATAGAACAATTCAAAATCTGACATAATCATGATAATCAGAACCACAACATTTGTTTTAGCCCCGGAAATAAAACAACTGGTGCCATCATTTCTATCAAACAACTGGAGGAATAGAAGAGTCAAGAACAAAGAGCCATCAGATTTACATGTTAAGCCAGCAGTAGAAACTATCGTTTTCAGTCCACTAGTCCTTATAATGATAACATATAGCAAAGCCCATAAAAATGGCAAATTTATCGTCCCTTTGACGCCTTAACTATTGGGCAGTTTGCCAAACTACAGCATTAGTGCCAATTTCTGACAGTTTACCATGTGAAAGCAGTAACGCTGTAACACTGAGTAAGCTCCTCCGTTTGTAAATTCTCTAAGCATCAAGGGCACTTATTATGGCAAATATGGTACATCATCTACTAGAAATGTGTGGTATGGAGAAAATACCAACACAAAGAATGTTCACACAAAGTACCATTGTTGGAAATCAAACCCTGATCTCTAAACAGAAACTTCCAGACATCTTCCCATCCTTCTTCTATAATATTTACCTCTGAACTTCCTCTTCAGCAAGGCCTCTTGGATTCTTGATGATGATTTCTGGAACTTCATCTGGATACTGAAAGTTAGTGAAACAGTGCATTACAGTGCATAGAACAGTACACAACAACTGGACACTAGGATGAAACTAATTATGGTGATCTTCATGTATCAAGTTTATTTATCAATGTACCGGGTATATTGACCTTGATGGCATCTTTTCACCGCAAGGTATTCACTTAATCTTAGTCTGGTTTCATATCGGTTTATTTTCTAGGACATTTACTGATCGTTTTTTGTTTTTTTTGTTTCACCCCGCACTCAGCAATATTCCAGCTATATGACGGCGGTCTGTAAATAATCGAGTCTGGACCAGACAATCCATTATAAGCATCGATCCACACAATTGGGATACAATGACATGCATCAACCAAGTCAGCGAGCCTGACCCCCTGATCCCATTAGTCGTCTCTTACGACAAGCATGGTCGCCTTTTATGTCAAGCATGGGTTGCTGAAGACCTATTCTACCCCGGATCTTCACAGGTACATTGACTGATTGTCGTCCAAAAAGGCCTCAAGATATTTTTCAAATTTGGTAATCATGGAAAACATAAAGAAGAATCAAATCATGAAAATATCTTATGGACATTTATCTCAAGCAAACACTGATAGGTTGCATGAAATGTCATAGCTGTTTTCAAGGGTTTTAATTAGCCCCTTCGTCACATGTCAAATTGACACACCGCAAAATATAAATACATATTTAATCACTGTTAATTGGTGTCTTTTTGACCATGCATGGATTAAATACAAAAAACTTAGGGCTTCAAAATTTTGAGTTGTTGCATTGGGTATGAGGTTGGGTCAATCCAAATGTTGTTTGTTTGTTTGCTTGTTTAACGCCTCACTCAGCAATATTCCAGCTAAATCACGGAGGCCTGGAAACAATCGGGTCTGATCAGCCAATCCAGTGATGGATATTGTGAGAAACTATCCACACTGTTGATAAGATTAAAAGTACAGGATTCCTGAACCAGTAACCATGGTAACCTGTTTGTAAGGTTACCCATGAAATATGAAAACTCTTACAGTTTCGGAGAGCTTGAAGACAAGGGTCATGCAAACGAACTGTTTGGTGACATCGTCCCCTGTTGCAGGGTGCAGATTGAGATGCAGTACTGATGGCTGACCACTGAAATACAGAACACAGATATCACAGAATTTTCCCCTCAATACAACAAACATGACAGGGCTCTATTTAACTAGATGAACATGCACCCGTGCAACCAATTATTGAAATGTGCAACCAATTATTGAAATGTGCAACCAATTATTGAAATGTGCAACCTAATATTTATGTCCACATGTACCAAGTGCATGTAAATAAAATTCAGATCTGTGCCTGACTAACTCTTATGTACATTTCCACACAAAAACGATCTTTGAACACTCTCAATATCGCTAAAGTTTATTTACCATACTACATCACTAATACCTGTTTTACATGTAATTTGTCATCTTTTATCGGGCTTGACAAAATCAAACAGTGGGAACTTCAAGATTATGTGCACTTGTTCCAAGACCATTACGTTTTATAATCATCACAGAGCTGAGATCATATTTATTTAAAATAAAGATATGTAAACCTGTCGAAACAAACATGATCTCGGCTCTCTGATGACTCTACACACCCAGGTTGCACCCTGGTCCCATCAATTTATCAAAATAAAAATAAAAATACTTAAACCAGTATAATTTTGATAAATTGATGGGCCCAAGGTGCAATCTGGGTTTGTCTGGTGCAACTAGGTTTTCATGACAACATGCACTTGGTGCAAGTTAAATCAAGTTCCTTAAATCGGGCCCCACATGATCATTATGTTAAACACAACCATATATGGATAGTTTGGGACTGTTCATTGACGTCTTTATCCCTAAGGACCAACCATTTAAATTTTTACAGAGGAGGGCCTCTATTTCATAGGGACAGATTATTTTTTCGGACTCTTCTAGACAAACAATTGCAGGGTTTTTATGTGCCGACGAAATGTACATCCAGGAAAGCACAATTATATTCTTTGTACCAAATTCTTGACAAGAAACATATGGTCCTGTAATTAAAGTAACTATCGCATGTTACGTTACAGTATACTGCACCATTTAATTAATTTACCATTGTTTACAGGATCCCCATATTTCCTGCAAGGTCCCTTGAAAATAATTATTGAGGTCCCCTGTATTAAATTCCAAACCACACAGTTTGCAGGTCATTTCTAGACCCAAAATATGGTGTCCAACACTAATCTAAATTTAGAATAGAAGCAAATACTGTATTCGACATGATAAGCGCCCAGGGCGCTCTCAAAATTAGAAATATAATTATTAGAATATAATTTTGGTGAGAAAAAAAACAGAGTCGAAAGATTGTAAATTTTGTGGTTTATGCTGACAGCCTGAAATGATATATGTGTATTATACACGATAGATATATTATTCAAGAAATAAATTGCCCATAATTAAGGGTGCATATAAAACGTGTGCGTATTATACACGAATAAATAAGTCTTGTGTAACATTTATCAATCGTAAAGGGTGCTAATTGGGATTGTTCACTAGCCAATATATTAGCAAATATCGCTGCGGGCGCTTATTGGAGCAGGGCGCTTATAACGTCAAATACGGTACTTTACATTGTGAGTTCTGGCGATGCAAAGATGTTTGGCTGTTTGAATCATGAAAATAAATAACTAAATTGTTGTTTGCATGTTACATATTCTGGTAAGCATGGTAGGAAATACACTCAAAGTTCAGTGCATCAATGGTTGATTTTCCAACATGGAAATCCCCATAAAAACATAATCATGATAATATGCATCTTCCCGAGGCAAGTGCGTTAACTGACTATATAAGTCCAGTTTTCTAAATCTTTTCATGTTGTTAATCGACGTACTAACATGATTTGATACAATTGGCAAAGTTTTATCACAATATAGATCTTGATAATCGATCAGATCGTCTTGACTGGACGCCGCCGTTTTGTTTGAAGCAAATGGAAGTGATATGAGAGATGGAATCTGATTGGTCAATGGGAGAGGCTAAAAGGGACATAACTCATAATAGCCACTGGTGGCGCTACGATCGAGCCCAGGAATTCCAGCCTAGTTCGGCAAGGGTGGAAACTGGACTTTTAAAGTCAGTTAACTCCCTTGCCTCGGGAAGATGGATAATATGTAGAACACTAAAAAGGTACGAGAAGGAAATACCATAACAAACCAAAATCATGATATCAAAAGGAAATTTTGGAAAACGCAGTGAAAAACACCAACACTGAAACAAATAGTCAAATTATGAAAGTGAGTGAGTGAGTGAGTGAGTGAGTGAGTGAGTGAGTGAGTGAGTGAGTGAGTGAGTGAGTGAGTGAGTGAGTGAGTGAGTGAGTGAGTGAGTGAGTGTGAGTTGGGGTTAACAGCACTTTTAACAGTATTCCAGTCATATCAATGCAAGTAAAGCCTGAAGTGATGAAAGTCTCTTAACCACTTTTGTGAAACCCACAAGCATGAGAATGGTGCTGACCTAGAAACATAATCAGGGCAAACCAGGACTCGAACCCACAATCGTAGGTTTCTGGGCTGCCCAGGGGACACAACTCTTCACAGCAAATTGCCCCCATGTCATAATGACTAACATGATTACATAGTTTAAAACCTCTCCTGTGTGTCTATCCCATCTCACCTTTCACCATCGTCAATCGTCAGTTCATGGATGTAGATAGCTCTCAGGACATCAAGCTCTTCCTGCAGGACGCTGCAAATCAAATGCTAATCATACAGAATATGGAAACTAGCATTGGGAATCGGATTAGAGTTTGTCAGAAATTGCTTATAACACTGTGAAATATGTTCTATACTGGAAAGGTAAAAAGATCAATTTTTTAATCATGTGACACAATGGGAGACGAGTAAGTTGGACTCAAGTCATTCCAAACCCAAATTGTTTATCTGTAAACACAAATAATAAGATGTGCAGACAATTAAGCAGTAGATAGTTAAACTAATTACACACAGATAGTCTCTGTTTGGCCATAGGTAGGCCGTCTCATGTACATGTTACGTCTGTGTCTCTTATCTTAGCATAAATGAAATTTCATTCGGTTGAACAGAGTGAATTAGACTGAAATTAATTTCTCCTGAAGGTAAAGCCAGTTATAAAGGGAGGTTATTCACGGTAGAGGGCGCAACCATGAGAGGTATATATAGGAATTGTAAAGCTTGGGTAGTTCAATCGCTCCTGGGGTGTCGCCGTCACAGGGCGGTCTGTTTATTTTATGTTTATGTCCTGTGCATTATGGTTATAATCATTTTCTCTTGTCAGGTGTTGGCAGTCTTGCTGCAAGACAAATGTCGTCACAGTGACGAGGATGGTTTCGTGCCACAAAGCATGGATGGTACCTGGTACATGCATGTATCTTACAGTAAGATGTTACAGTGTCGGTGACTAGCGTGGTTCTGAAATTATATGGATCAAGGCTAGTGATGCTACTGGGTTTGTAAAAGGAAATTTCAGTGCAGAGTAAATGCCTTGGCGAGTGCCACAGGGGAAGCCACATGTGTGTTTGTTGTTTATATCTGGCTTGACGAGGTTTCGGAAGAGAACATCTAAACATTGGCCAAAAATGGACAGCAGGGCCCTGTCCCACAAAGCGATCTTAGCACAAACTCCCAAACTTTAACAGAGGCTTATAATCACCAATGTGCTAATATTGCTTTGTGGAGCACAGTTCCGCTCTGAGCAATTGCTATTTCTATCGGTCATTTCCAACCCGCACATTATCAGAGCTCCACATAACTTTTTGAGCAATTGAGTTTTTACTCTAGGGTTTCTATTTTAATTGGGTTATTACATTTTTCATTGGGTAACCACTTTTCACTCATCCATGGTGATGTCAGGTAAATCAATACTTTTTTTACTGAATTTTTAGTTTCAAGGTAGAAAAAGTGACTGTCATACATGTATGCGCACAAATGTCAATACTCAGGACTGACCACTAGGTACCGTGCCGACACATCAATCCGTGGTACTCACCAATCCGTGGTATTTTTTTTTGACGTCATTTCTCGCGCACCTCGCACGGATTTGCACCCCCTAGCGATTGTTTACATTGACAACTCGATCGTGACAGCTCTGAGCGAAAAATGTTCAGAATTGCATCTATTTGCGTAAGTACAGCTTTATATTACGATAAACTAACTAAAACTAACCTTCTGCACGTAATGCACTTTTTGTACCATTATAAAAAATGAGATCGTAAAAAATATTCAACACGTAAGTTCAGCAAGAGAAGTTCGTCTGCTAGCTGATGTAAACAGTAATGTGTATCACATGACTACTAAGGGGAATACCCGCTCAATTTTTAAAACTATGGAAGCTGAGTAGGGCCATATCTTATATCGTTTATCGTGGTTTGTAGGATAATCCTGCGAGACGCAAACGACAGTACCGGCCTTATAGTCCAACACAACTGAAAGAAGCCTATCTGGAAGTAGTTGAACGAGGTTCTTCTGTCTACAAAGCAGCCAGGAAGTACTCTGTGCCTGACCAGACTCTGAGGGACAGAACTAAGGCATTACTTCCCCAGAATGTTTGTCCTCTGGACCAGGGCCATTATTTTCCCAAGAAGAAGAAGCACGCCTTGTCGACCACATAAAGCTTATGGCCTCAGTAGGGTATGGATATACCTGGGCGCAGGTTATCTGTCTTGGAACTGACTATGCCATAAATCTCAAGAAACGTAGTAATTATTCCAAATCACTATCACTGCAGTGGTTTTATGGGTTGATGGGAAGATGGCCTGAACTGAAGTTGCGACGACCAAGGGGATTGTCTCAACTACGAGCCATTGCCACATCTGAGGAGAGCATTAACAAGTATTTTTCTCAACTTGAAGCAGTTCTTGACAAGTATGACCTAAAGTCAAGCCCGAAGCTGATCTACAACGTCGATGAGAAGGGAATTAATCTCACACATTCTTCACCGCAAATCGTTGGATCTGCAGACGAAGTTCCAAATGAAATCTGCCCAGAGAAATCCTCTACAGTTACTGTTTTGGGATGCGGCAATGCATTGGGTCAGAAGATTCCACCTTTTTTCATTTTTCCTGGTTCACACATGCGCGATGACCTCTTAGATGGTTCGACAGTTGGAACTTGTGGAACTGTTAGCGAGACGGGATGGTCCAATACAGACATATTTCAGCGATGGTTGACAAGCCATTTTGTGAAATATGCCAAAGTCGGAGGTGACAAGAAAACTCTGCTGCTATATGACGGCCACAGGTCTCACATCACCCCTCATCTGATAGATTACGCTGTTGACCAGGGGATAATCCTGTTTGTTCTACCACCTCACACAAGCCATGTTCTCCAGCCGATGGATGTTGGGTGCTTTGGGCCTTTCACCAAGATTTTCAGTTCAGAATGTAGGAAATGGCAGCGGTCAAATTCTGGAACAGTTAACCGATATAGCGTCTGTTCTTTGGCCTGTAAGGCATACGAGATTTCTCTGTCTGCCAGTAACTTGCACAGTGCTTTCAGGAAATGTGGTATTTATCCATTTGACCCAACGGCAATTGACAAGTCATTCCTGAAGCCATCTACGTTTGCCAATCAACAGTTGGAAAAAGCTGCAGAAATTTCAGTTACATATCCTGACATCGTTGAACAGCCCTCAGATTCAAAATTTTTTGAAGATCATCTTCCTGTTATTACCATTAAAAAATCGAAGCCCAGACGTTCTATCCATAAGATCGTTGGTGGACAAGCAATTACGGAACCAGATATATCATGTCAAGTCACGGCTTACATCAACCAGTCCAAACAGTCAACAAACGGAGGAAGCAAGGCATCAAAATCAACTGCGAAGCCAAAGACAACTAAACCAACTACCACGTCTACCAGCAAGGATAAGCAGGACATTATGTCATCCCAACAACCTGGACCATCTGGGATTGATAAGCTCCTTATCTCAAGCGACGACCAATCAGATTTTGAATCTAACAACGATGATGACAAAAAGTGTTGTGTATGCGGAAAGTTTCAGCCAGATGAACTGAGACGATGTCCACATGTTGAATTCACTAAGTGGGGACAGTGCATGCATTGAAATTGTGAACACTGGGTGCATTTAAAATACTGTTGTGACATCTCCTTTCATCGACAACATGATGTGTTTTTCTGTCCGTGTCACGGTCTACCTTGCAGACACCAAGAAGAATAACGAAATTTGTGATGACCATGATCAAAAACTAAATAATCTGAAAATTTGTGATCAGTGGCAGTTATTTCATATTTCATAATTCAGTACAGTGTTATCTGCATTTTGTTACGTTTGGAAGTGCCTTGGGAACATTACTTTCGATTCCAAAGAACTTTGACATTGTGGCGTGTGCTAACCACCCGTAGCTTGACCCGATGAACTTTACCACGGAAACATATGACGTCACTACATGTTGTGTAAAAATGGCCGCTATTGTACAGCAGCCGATACGGAGGCATTTGTGGACAAAATGATGTTTCCTTGTAATTAAATGGTGTAAAGGCGAGTGTTCTTACGATTTATTTCACATTTATTGCTTGTCGAAGTCAGCGGGTTGGTTTATCGTAATGCTATTCTTAATACCACGGAAACACGTGTCGCGAGGCTATATGAGTACTTATATTTGTGCTAGCACCAACACTGTGGTAAAGTGTAGGCTAATTAACGTTTGGACTTAATTGGAATTGGTGCTCTCAGTAAGGGGTAAAATACCCCAAAAGAAATACCCTAATTAACGCACGACAGCATCTCACTAACGGCCTTTATTTCAATGTCCTCATTTGAACAGACTGTGGCGAGAAGCATACGTCATCAAAACATTGACTTAAAATTCATTTGAGTAAACATCAAAACAGTTCCCTTGTTGTCAGCCTGCATCAGAATCACGTCTGACGATGTTATACTTTTACCCTATCATGAACCAGCAAATAGTCAAAACAACAGTCAACATGAACGCCGAATCAGCTGTGGATTGCATAAGACTTTGAAACCTACTTTGAAGACGTTGAAGGTGAAAGTCTTTTCATTTACCCATATTTGAACATATCTGACATAAATATACTTCGCAGATATTTTCCATTATAAAACACACGCTTCGACATATATAATAAAGAGCTATGTTATTCTAAATGCTTGTTAAATCAAGATTGCTGACCTGTCTGGACCGATGCTGTCACTGCGAGCTGCCATGTTTACGATCTGCAGTAACTATCCGACTGACGTTTCTTGGTCCTATTTGTGATCCCCAGTTCTAATAAAAAATAATATCCCCCTAAATTCATTTTATTGCATTTGTATGAACTTTAAACGAGTACAAAACGAATCACAAAATTTTGTTGTGCTCACCCGGGAATACGCGCACCTTGCTTTTCTAATCCCGCAGTTGGATGGTGTTTACAAAATGGCGGACAGAAAAACATCAGAACATTTCCACAATCTTAAGGATGGCTCAGATCAAAAGCGGCCGTAAGCGTTACTTGATTTGTATGCTGTCACAATTTTACATGCTTTATGCACCAGGGGCAGTTGTTATTTTCTGCATATATAGGAAGGTTCATGCAGTTTGCATATGCGTAAAGTCGGGCACTGGAGCATGTATTGCCATACACGCCGCTGTCAACTTAACTCAACGTTTTGCGTTGAAATATGGAAGTCAGTTAATGCGGTTTCCTGAATAGGTGATTGGTGTGCATTATCAAACATGTTATGGTACACGCTGCCTCCTATTTCAAAGTTTATACACTATACAAGCAGATGAAGGTGTAACTGCACCGTCTATATTTAGTTCCGAGTTTTGACATCTGGGAAGTTGTGCTAATTATAAGCATGACACTTGCTGGCTAATACAAAGTTCAAGAGGGACTGGTAAAGAGGTACTTGTGGTTATATCATATTACTACCTGGTCTTACCATTTTGTTAAAACACTGTTTTCAGGTACCACCAATGATGAAATCTGTTGATGGTGATAAGATTTAAGTGTCATTGTTAAAGTTCTGAGACGCCAGACCTTTAACATACTAAGGCATATTTATGATTTTTATTCAAGAATGGTATGAATGTATTGGCTGCATGATTAATACCTATATTGTCTACAGTAGATAACAAAGAGAAGTTTCAGAAGAGTGTTTAAAACAACTGCATACATTATTGCAGTAGTTGATGTAAATGTAATGTAAATTAAGAATTTCTCAAATCATGTTCATGATGTTAATATAGCTATAACAAATATGATGACTTGGTCGAAGTGGGGAAGTGGGGTAGCCTTGTGGTTAAAGTGCTTGCTTGTCAAGCCGAAGACCCAGGTGTGAAGCCCATTTTGTGGTGTCCCCTACTGTGATATTGCTGGAATATTGCGAAATGCTTGGTTGAAGTGACATGTGTTTGCCCCTAACAGGACTCCCAAAAAAGAAGAAGAGAACTTCATGCTTAATTTACATTTTGGCATAAAGTGCAGTGTTAAAATACCTCTGAAACTAGGAACTTTACAAAAAACTAAAAGAAAATTAAAAATCCAATTGGCTTGACAAGGGCTAGAATCCTAGATACATGTATACCGTATTTGACGTAATAAGGGCCCCGCTCTAATAAGCGCCCACGGCGATATTTGCTAATATATTGTCTTGTGAAAAATCCCAATTAGCACCCCTTCCGATTGATCAATGTACACAGGACTTATCTATTCGTGTATAATATGTATGTTATATGCATTCTTAATTATGGGAAACTAAATTCTGGAAAAAATATATCTGTCGTATATTTATAAACATTTCAGGCTGTCAGCATAAACCACGAAATTTATGATCTTTCAATTCTGTTGTTTTTCACCAAAATAATATTCTTATAAGAGCCCCCTATTTCTAACTTTGAGAGCGCCCTGGGCACTTATTATGTCAAATACGGTATCCCTTCAATGCATTAATGACTTTAGAAATCAGATACAGCTCGTTAATCATTTGGTATGTTTGTACTAACAGGTTTAAGCACCTTAGTGTTAATTAAACAATTTAAGTGAATATGGCAGTGAACCCAGTTGTCATACCTACCACAGCAAGTACTGGTAATTATCTGGTATTGTCTTTTTGTCCAATTAATTAGGAACTGTGGAAAACAGTAGAAAACACTTCTGTAAATTGGTTGGAAGGCTCTCATAAAGCCTAAAACTGTCATGGAGTGTCAGAAATTGGCACTAGTCCTGTAGCTCTTGCCAAACTGCCCAGTTGTTAAGGTATCATAAGGACAACTAGAAATTTGCAATTTTTAAGGGCTTTGCTGTATGATATCATTATAAGCTGGTGGACTTAAAATGTTAGTTTCTACCGCTGGCATGCCATATTTATTTATAGTGACTTGACAGCTATTTGCTGAGAGGTAGACCATGATTAAGGCAAATACTATGATAGTGTAAGGAAGAATATTGCAAAGTTGTTCAATCAGGAAATATTTATTCCTCCTCACAGGATTGATGTCCCATTGTGCATGTGATTTTGCATGCTGTGTACTTTGTTTATGCTTCCAGGAGTATAGTATGTGTTGATGATCCGGGAGGAGTACTGACAATTTAAATGTTATGTTAATTTATTGGAATATACAGTGGCTAACAATACATATTAGAAACTTCAAGACTCATGCTGAAACTGAACAAAGGCTGACTGGGATGTTAATCTAATTTTTAACGTAAAAAAAGATGTTTTATCAGTTTATTTATCATGTATTGAAACAAAATGTCGATAACTGAAGTAGTGGCTGTTTGTTCTTGAACTGTTTTAACCAGGATGCATTCTTAGCAAGCTTAGCGTTGACATTTATATTTCTGTGTGATAATTTTGTATTCTTGTTAAGCATGTTATGTGCGTCTGATGTAAACAACATTTTTAGACACTTGTTCAATACTATTGTATCAACATTTGACATTGTTTAACGCATTGGTCAAAATGTATTGCAATTATGTAGTGTGTTCATACTAGTATATCGTTACATCCCTCTTGCTTGTGTTCGTAGGATGGTCATCCAGTCTGCCCCACGACACCACCATGATACCTTTACTGATAGTGGTTCAAATGGCGTGAAGGACACAGAGAAACACAGACATAAAGAGTCGAAAAAATCTCACCATTCAAAATCCCAGCCAAAACTTCAACCGAGTGGTTCTGAATCCCAGGCTTATACCTTTCATGAAAGTTCCCCTTTTGATTCCACAAAATACTCAACATCTACCTCATCCATGGAAGCAGCACATCACAAGAAGCGTCTGAAAACATCACTTCCCAAACCGAAACACGAGCTAGACGTGCATCGTCATGATTTCAGCGATGTGATGCCCAAGTCCCAAGCCAGTCAGTCAACGTTGGAAGCCCTGATGGCAAGGAGCCCTGTCTCACAAGACCGAGTGATCCCCATCCCCAACCGAGCGAGCCCCGTGGGTTCCTTCATCCCCTCGCCCCCACATACAAAGAGTGCCTCTTTAAGCAGAGATATATCACCGTCGCGAATCACGCAACAAGTTGTATCAGCCCTGTCAGAAAGTTACCCCCCACCTCTGCTTCATTCTGCCCTCACCGGCACGCTGACGCAGTCCCCAGCCAGTTCTCCATCCCCTCCCAACAGAACTGTGGTTAGGAACGTACCGCCATCTCGGGAACAAGAGCATCATGGTAGACTCAGCAGTCAGACGATCCGACACTTACAAGAGTCTCAGCTACAACGAAAGGCCCAGACCATCAGACAACCGGGAGTCCATATACAGACCAGACTACCTCCTGGTGCCCAGGCAGCTGAAGGTCCAGTGGATCATATAACATTTAGATCTGTATCACCAAAAAGCAGACAAGTATCTCATGAGCCTCATGTAGAAAGAGTAGTGTTCAGATCAGTTTCTCCCAAAGGCATCCAGAGATCTCACATACCAGCTGGGGAAAGAGGAGCGCTGCCCTTCAGGTCTGTGTCTCCTAAAAGTGTTCAGTCCTCTCATATCGTTGAAGGTGGCGTACCATTTCGATCCGTGTCTCCGCGACGGAGCCATGTGCCTCATCCTGGGAGGCAAGTTAAAGAAGAGCCAAGGGGTTTTGTTGTGGAAGGACCTAATACAGCATTGTCAGCAAATAGTTCAGCTCCACAACAAACTGACTTAAACATGCCGGTGTATACCAGCTCTGTTTTGAACAATGTTCCCAACACTGTTGTCTATTCGCAATCCTTTGGTCGTGCTCCACCTATATCATCTGCGGGTACTGTGTCATTATCAGGATCGATTCCGTCAGTCCGAGAGGGACCGCCTGGTGTGAGAATAGTTCATTCATCTGAGGGTCTACAGAAAGTCATTGTGTCATTAGGAGAGAATCCAGGGCTAATGTCTCGTGAATTGGCTGAAAGATTAGAAGCAGAGCTCCGAAGTCATCATTCAAGCCACAGACGCACACCTTCACCTGTTCCCCCATCTTCAACTAGACCAGCCAAAGAGCACATACCCCCTTCATCCTATGCAAGACACCCCTCCTCTTCACCCCTGACAATCCACAAAACTCCATCCCCCTCCCATGCTGGACATCGAACCCACGGCCATTCCTCCTCCCCACAGACAATCCACAGGACACCGTCACCCTCCCATGCAGGGCATCGAACACAGGGCCACATATCCCCTGTGTCTCATGCACAGGGGAAGGTGTCGCCTGTGCCGACTCGCAACATAGTGTCCTCAGCTCACAGGATCCACGGACATGTCTCTCCAGGCCCACACAGCCAGGACAAAGGGCCTGTCCTGACCCAACCCCTTGGACGCTTCTCACCCTCACCCACATCAGCTTACCGGGGTCATGTGTCCCCAGTTCAGACCCCAGAGCAGCAGAGAATGGGCAGCTCTCCTCCCCCAGCTCACAAACACCCCGAACTCCCTCCTACATGTCGGTCAAGACAGCCGGCTGTTGATCTCACCAAAACTCATCACAGATACGCCAATGAGTGTATCCCTTCTCCGGCACAGAGATACACCGATATGCCCTCAGTGCTACCATCCTCTATTGCTCACAGTTCCACTCAAGAAGCCAGGTCAGTAAATGTACTATTTTCACAAGCGCAGGGACAAGTCAGTGTTACACCCCGTCAACATCCACACGAAGGGCAGCAGGGATCAAAGAAAGATCGTAAAACAGATATTCGCCATGACACACAACCTACCTTCCAACCTGCAGGCCAGGGCCAGCCATATTCAACTGCAGGAGAGACACAGCTAGCCTCTCGCCTAGCTACATCCCAAGCCAAGCCTTTGCCCCCAAGTCATATTAACCCCTTCACCTTTCCGGTCAAAATGATGGTAACCACCCACGCACCTGCCCCGATCCCGTCATACACAGTCAACAGCAGCTCACACCAGCCTGAGCAGCGGACTCCTCTGACGGCTCCCTTCTACCCACGGTCCACCTCCGACATTTCCGATTTGCAGCGGAAAACAGAAAAAGAGAATATGAATGACATGCCCCGTCTTGTGCCGGAATTACCACTGGTGAAGAAGGAGGAGAACTCAGGAAGTTTCACAGGGTTCAACCATGTTAATGAATCTCCGCACTGTGAGGCATCGTCTTCGGTAAGAACACCCAAATATATCAATGCTTTAACCATGTTAACATTAAGAATTGATTTTCTTGTAGTTGTGCAGATCCATAGAGATAGTTAGCCATGTGGGTTTTCATATAATAAATGTCATTTTGACATGATACAATTTTTTAACTTATCCTGTCCAACACTATGCATTCCTTCCTTCTTCTTTCGATACCATTGTGGAAACGTGCTTGAATATAGTTTCCAACTTCAATAAACATTTCACCTGAACACATGCCAGCATCACCATGGTCACCACCCAAAAAAATGGGTCACGCACTGTAATCCTGTGTATGTGACCTTTCACGACTTGATCACCTGACTACTCCTGCCACATCATACTCTTTCTCATCGCAACCCTGTGGAGACGTGTGTTTAGTTCTAGAGAATACATATTTGAATTTTTGGTGTTTTTTTTGTGAGCTACCTCCTCATTTGTGTTAACATCTACAACACTAATTTAAGAAGAGGATGGGAACGGAACAGCGCCTGTAAAAGTTGCAGACATACTTACTCCAATGCTGATCCTCGTGATCGTTGCTGTGATTGTCGCGGCCTTTGCCTTAAGGGCCACAGACGTGCCCAGTGTTCTCACCTCTATGAGGAAGCTTTCCGTTTAGGTTTAACCAAATGCCACAAACGTAATATTGACCGCTGGTCTAAATCTAAGGACATGGAACGCGATCCTTCCCTTTGCCCAAAAGCCCAAACTTGTGACCAAGCCGGCTTTTCCATCCACCGTAACTGTTGTGAAACCACCTCCTGCGTTAACCATACCATCCTTGTCGGTTGAAGATGATGGGATCTTGGACAGTTTCTTCACTGAAGACCTTCCTGCGAATGGACCAGTTTTCCCCCTGTGTGCCCGTTACCACGCCATGCCTGTCATCAGCTGAGAGTCACCAATCATCCCAGGATCGACATCAATGTAATGTTTATTGGGATTGCCATCACAGCTGGGCGATACCCCTCCCCTTTGGATTGATACAGTCACATGTGCTTCTCTCCTTTTCCATGGCATGGCCGTCACACATCGATACCCATTATATCCAGATTACAGATCTCTGTCTGATTACTATGGCTATACACCACCCCGGGAGCGACATCAGGATTGACATTGATACGCAGATCGTCGTTGACTTCCGTCTCATCCTTGAGGTTCCTGTCTGACTACTATCGCTATACACCACCCCGGGAGCGACATCAGGATTGACATTGATACGCAGATCGTCGTTGGTTTCCGTCTCATCCTTGAGGTTCCTGTCTGACTACTATCGCTATACACCACTCCGGGAGCGACATCAGGATTGACATTGATACGCAGATCGTCGTTGGTTTCCGTCTCATCCTTGAGGTTCCTGTCTGACTACTATCGCTATACACCACCCCGGGAGCGACATCAGGATTGACATTGATACGCAGATCGTCGTTTACTTCCGTCTCATCCTTGAGGTTCCTGTCTGACTACTATCGCTATACACCACCCTCTCCTGGCCGGTTAATAGATCATCATCGATACCAATTTTCTTAGGATCGACATCGATACTGATTGCCTACAGATCAACATCGGGATCGACATCAATACCCTCCTCTAATAGATCGACATTGGGAGCAATATCGACACCCCTCTCCTCAGGGTCGACATGAACATCGATGTCAGGGCACATGTTCTATCTATAAACGAGGTCAGCAATGTCAGCAATGTCCCTAACTTTCTTAGACAGATTTATAATCTGTCTTCGCAATTGTCAAGGCTTCATTGAAGACTTCTCTACTATCGTCAGCCAAGAAACCTAAAGGAACAGGCACTCCATTGTTGCTGTAACTCCCTAATCTTTTTTGCAGACGTCAGCAAACATCATTTCACTATCGATCGAGGAGGACGCACTATCCGTTTAATTCTTCACAGCCAAATTTTTCTGCCTTTACGATGACAGTGGCCTTGCGTGCTTGAGGATACACGATCGCCTTCTACAGTCGTCTTACATTCAGCTGACCACCCATTGTATGATCAAGACTAGTTATTCTATGGCATAGCAATATCAAGAGAATAACGATCAACTGGATCATGCGCTACACTTTTACTGGTGTGTGAGACAGAGATTTGCCCATTCTGTAATTTCCCACTTATCTCCATGCATCAAATATCATGGAGACAGGATGATTTATGCAGCAAAGTGACTGGATAAATCACTTTCAGTGAGACCTCGATGACTACACGTCGTGACGGCGTTTGACAATGCACAGTTTTGAAAACACCACCCCACCTCAGGATCAACCCTGCTTTGTACATTCGTTCGACCAGGGATTATATGATAGCCTCTAGCCTACATGATGCGTATGACTCATCTTTGCATATGACTCGTCTCCAGAAGTCGCTTGTCAACTGAGGGTATTCGAACAGAGGAGCCAAGACCTTCACTGAGGCTCCCCGCACCTCCACACGGGCCTTATGTGACCATTAATGGAAGGCATTCAAAGCTTATTGTTGGGCTTGTGACATCATCTAGCCGACCACTGCTTCTCTACAACAGGTCAGCCAGTGTCTGCAACAATTGAGATCAATTCGCTGTGATCAACTCTGTCATTGCTATTACAACTGGATCTAAGATCTCCACGTTTGCTGAGCTACAGTTCCTCATTCAGTCCACCAAGTTAGCTGACCAGTCGTCTTGATCCACTTGGGATCTTAATGTCATCCTCTGCCATCTGAACTCTGCATGAACCACTTGCTGAGAAGGACTTTCAGTTGATCACCCTCAACATGCTCAAGACATTTTCTCTCTTGGTCCTTACAACTGCTGCTAGAATGAGTGTGATCCAAGCTCTCGATGTTAACAGGGTCCTGTTTAAGAGAATACATAATGGAAAGGTCTTTCTGGGGCTTTGCTGGGACCTCAACGCAAACAATCAGCTTCCGGGACGGCCAGACAAGTTGTTCAACATTCCGTCATTGGCGCCATCCTGAACCCAGATGACCATACCCGGTTAGAGATCTCGGCATCTACGTCAAGATGGCAATGCCACTTTGGTGCACCCACAAGAAACTGTTTTTCCCACTTTCCACGGCGGCCTGTACAGAATTTTCCCGAACCATGGTCTCTGCTCAACAACCCTTGGGGCCTACGTGACATCTAATCCACATGAAACTGGAGCCGTTGCCTCTACCATGCACAGCAACTGCACCCTCTTCACCATCATGGAGGGATTTTTTTAGGAGTCTGACACTGTCTTCGCTTTCCACTGTCTTTCTGAGTCACCGGTGTTCAGGGCCTCTACAGTTGACGGCTGCAAACAAGCACAGATAGACAATACTATGTACCCGTTCCTGCAGCCCAGTACTCTGTATCCTGTACATACAGATCATTCATTGGAGCATCCTTCCTTTGTTTATTGTCATTATTCTGGTTCCCAGACTGAATACCCAGTGTAGGGTGAGCTACCTCATCTGTAAAGACTCTGGTCTTCAACATAGAAGTTGCCGCAAGGCACGGTTGTTTTGGCGGTGTCCCAAGCCAGTACCTGATCACCTCTATTTTACGGGCGTAATGTCTCAGTATTGGTTTGATGATCCTCTTGTGGATGTTGTCGATCGTTCCACTTCTCTTGGCATGTTTCAATCCTGCGGGCATGATTGATAGCTGTGACAAAGCGTTAAAAGAGATACACCACCTCCGGGTTGGTTATGAGTCATACACTGAACAGATCTCTATTCAAAGCTATGATGTCATTTGTGTATCGATGTCCTACATGAAAATACGGAACACATGTTCTACCCGATTTCATGATGAGACAACTAGCATAAAAGGGATCCCATCGCCTGTTGTGGTGTTTTTACCTCCACACAATTTCCCGTCTTTATGACACAAGCCAGTGTTATAGATTCTATATATGTATCACTGTTTAGCACCAACTTCCTTGTGTATGGCTCATGGTTGTTGTCTCTACAGGCTAGGGTATCCGCGTCCAACCATAGGATAAATGCATTGTGTGAGATGGGATACGTTTTGTAAATTTTACATTTGATATACTTATCCATCTCACACGCTATATGCTTGTCCGACCGTCCCTGAATCACAGCTCTAGCCTGTCAGCTCTAAGAAACAGAATGGTAGTCAGATGATCAAGTCGTGAAAGGTCACATGCACAGGATTACAGGGCATGACCCATTTGTTTAGGTGCTGACCTTGTTGAGGCTGGAGTGTTCGGGTGAAATATGTTTAGAAGCTGGAAACTTGGTTCAAGCACGATTCCACGTAAGGATCGAAAGAAGACATGCAAAGTTTGAGATAGGATAAGTATATAAATATTCAATTTTTTTAACGAAACAAGCCTTTGGTAGGCATAATAACAAAATTGTTCCTAATATATCATATTAGTACTGAAACAAGAAAGTATTTATATCTTTTTCATGTGATAAATTCATTCTTATCATAATCAATGACTAAAGTAACTTTAGAAACAGTTGAGGAACACAGATTGTATACATGGAAGTGATGTGATCCCCTGTTACAATGGTTACAGTTGAGTCCCTTCAACATGAGGCTGCAGAACCTAGCCAACTTCCCTGTCAACAACACAACGTACAGGTCTGCATATAGGGCGCAGTCTGTAGCTGTCCAGAGAGCCAAGTGAGTGCCCATCAGTTTACACAGAATCTCCCAGATTTGGAATAAAATTAAACTTTTACCTTATCCTGAGTCATACAATTTGTTTATCTCATCTCATTCTGAAAAAGTAGTGGAAACTGGCTAACTTTCAGTATGTGTGTTTTTTTAAAAAAAAAACATTCTTGTCCTTAAAAGTTGTGAAGAAGACCTTACTTTCTTCAGGTATTTATCTAGACCTTCTCAGAGACTGATATTCGACCCAAAGCCTGCAGGAAATGAGAAAAATTTGGCAATTCCTCAATATTGACAAAAATAAGAGTATTGAAATAAAAAGAAATTGCAGGGGGACAATATCACAATTTTTTTCACAATTTGCCTGCCAAGGACTTAAATCCCTGTTCTTAGGAACAAATCTATTTACTAATTAGAGAAGAGATAAGTAGCCCTTTCAGCTATCATTTCATGTGGAATAGGTCTTCAGCAACCCATGCTTGCCATAAAAGGCAACTATGCTTGTCGTAGGAGGCAACTAACGGGATTAGGTGGTTAGGCTCGCTGACTTGGTTGAAGCATGTCATCGTATCCCAATTGCGTGGATCGATGCTCATGATATCAGCCCTTGTTTTGCCTGTCCAGACTCAGTTATTTACAGACCGCCGTTATAGCTGAAATATTGCTGAGTGCGGCGTTTAACAACAAACAAACCAGCCAACATGAGGAAGAGAATGTCAACTTCTTTATTATGAGGAACAGGATGATGAAGGAGTAAGTATACACTCCGAAACACTGTGCCCGTGAAGATCCGGGGTAGAAAAGGTCTTCAGCAACCCATGCTTGCCGTTAAAGGTGACTATGCTTGTCGTAAAAGGCGACTAACGGGATCGGGTGGTCAGGCTCGCTGACTTGGTTGATGCATGTCATCGATCCCAAATGCGTGGATTGATGCTCATGATATCAATCACTGGATTGTCTGGTCCAGACTTGATTATTTACATACCGCCGTCATATAGCTGGAATATTGCTGAGTGCGGCGTTAAACAACAAACCAACCAACCAACCGAAAAACACTGTGTTCCTCATAATAAAGAAGTTGACATCCATATAGTCTCCTCCTTATGCACAAACCTGTGATGTACTGACAAAGGTTTGACTTCATCAATATGTGAGCCTTTATGATCCAGCACAGTTGTGTTTCCAGGGCCTGTTCAATAACCAGTGCTGCTAAGTCCCTCGACATCCTCCGGCAGAACCTTCAGAGGAGCTTAAACAAGGAGCTGGATGTAATCGTGCAGAATTATGTCGAGGTGAGCAGAAAAACATGGTTACCTGATGTATGTGTCCCGCTGTGTTGATTAGATTAGGTTCCCATCGACCTGTGTTGGTCATGGAGGCGTCCAAATAGTTCTGTGGTGGGGGCAGTGGGGTAGCCCATGGTTAAAACTTTTGCTCGTCCTGTCCGTGGTTCAGATTTGATCCCCCACAAGGCTCCCAATTGCGTAGATCAGTGCTCATGATGTAAACCACTGGATTGTCTGGTCTAGACTCAATTACTGACAGATCGTCGTCATTTGGCTAGAACGTTACTGAGTGTGGCATTAATCAACAAACAAACAAATCATAGGATGAGACTCAATTGCGAGGTGAAACTGGTTGATTGCAGCAATATCTTGTCAGCCGGGCCACACAGAGAAATTACTGAGGCCTAGGCTGGCCTAGTTACATGAAGATCCGGGGTAGTATAGGTCTTCAGCAGCCCATTCTTGCCGTAAAAGGCGACTATGCTTGTCATAAGAGGCAACTAATGGGATCGGAAGGTCAGGCACGCTGACTTAGTTGAAGCATGTCATCGATCCCAATTGTGTTGATCGATGCTCATGATATCAATCACTGGATTGTCTGGTCCAGACTTGATTATTTACGGACCGCCGTCATATAGCTGGAATATTGCTGAGTGCGGTGTAAAACAACAAACTTAACCAAACCAAAACATATTGTTTGTGTCTTATCATTTCAGAAGTTTTTCAAACCTGCTGTATCCAACATTCGGCTTAACAACGGACAGAACGCTGTCAGTGATGACCACATCCATGCTGTGTGTAGACAGATGCTGGAGGAGGTATATGCAGTCACAATTCACACAAACAATTCATTAACGACATCTACAGGACTTGCTGATATATGGACATATGTAAATATCTTGTTAATGTGCATGTGGTGACAGTAAGTAGCTGTATTTTTACAGATTCATGATTTATTTCCCATTCAGGCAAAGAAGATGTACGTGAGCGAACCTCGGCGAAGTGTGACCCCTGTAAGAGATGACACTGACACTGTGTCCGAGAATGGCAGCAACTGTGGACGGAGACCGGTGGTAAGTCACAGGCTTCTCACAGGGTGTGGTCCCCCGCGGGGATTCTGGGTAAGAATATACTTACTCACTCACTCACTCACTCACTCGAAGTGGTGAGGCTCGATGACCTGGTTGATTGCCTGTCATCATACCCCAACTGTGTTGATCATTGCTCATAATATCAATCACTGGATTGTCTAGTTCAGATTGGATTATTTACAGGCCACCATCATACAGCTGAAATAGTGCTGAGTGCTGGATCAAAGAACAAACAAAAACAGGGTGTTGTGTTGTATCATGTAACATGAGCTTATCAGTCTTTGGTTTTGTTGGACCACCTCTGTGGTCTAATGGTAGAGCATCCGCCCGGAGAGCGGAAGGTCCGGGGTTTCGTCCCCGGCTGCATCATACCAAAATACGTTAAAAGATGGTACTTGTTGTTACCCTGTCTGGCACTCGGCATTAAGGGGTTAAAACAAGGACTGGTCAGCTCAGAGTCTGTATACTGTGTTTGAGTGGGGTATTCATGTTAAACTGCAGCATGGTATCTCAGTGAGCTAGCACTATAAATCAGCACCAGTCCAGTCAAGTACAAGCAGCCCCCCACACAAACAGCATGCACGTCACTATAGAAGTGCAATCTTGGACGCAACGTTAAACCCCATTACACCACACCTTTGCTTTGCTGAGGTAGGGATCGGGGAAGAATAGGCCACAGTTCAGAATCGGGTGTCGATGAAGTATGGCATGGCTGACTGTTGGTCATATCCCAGTATAATGGCCCACTGCTCGTGTTATCCAGCACTGGTTTGGCACACCAGACTGATCATTACAGGCCACTGTGATATAGCTTGAATATATCTTGCAGCAATGTTGAACAACGTCAATGTTTTTCAAAATCTTAAAATGTTCACTAAATGTGGGAAAAACACAATAGAGTGATGAATAGATGAGTGAAAAAGTATTGGTTACCCAATGAAAAATGTAATAACCCAATAATATAGAAACCCTCGAGTAAAAACTCAAGTGCTCAAAAAGTTACCTGCAGTTCTGCACTCACTGATAGGATAGTGTGATCAGTCTTGTATCGTCCCAAGCAGCCATGTTGACCTGATATGCTGCACAGACACATGGGATTCTTGTTTCTTGTTCCTGTAGTACATGTTGTTATGTGCAGGGGACCGGACGAAGGCGTCGCCCGTCTGACAGCAACTCGGAGGCAGGAAGTGACATCAGCCAGCCCAAGAAGAAGGTGAGGAAAGTTAGTCGAAAATTATTTCCTTACTCTCTTGTCTCTGTCTGTTTATTGTCTTTCAATATCTAATGGATTGTAAATTCTTTGATAATTAGAAAATTCCGAAAAGAAAATCAAACTACTGCTTTAAAAATTACTTCATTCTGAGGTATTCTGGAAGATTTATTAATATCTGTTATTTTATGAATAGTTTCTGTAGAGTCATTAGTTTTCTCCCAATCTATGACATTTTGACATTTTTCACGCCAGCATTTACATTTTATGTACGCTTCCTTTTCATTTGTTTAAATTCATTTCTTGTGTTAATCCTTATTTTGTAACACACCATTCTACTAGTAGACTTCCATCTATTTGGAATCGTTGTCTTTATTGTCATTATTTTTGTTTCAGAGGAAAGGACGGCCACCTCTTCACCAATCAGGGTATGTACAGATGTGAAGCACTGTGATGGCTATACACAGACACTGGTGCTTAGGCAACAGTTTTCTTATTTTCCAGGTTACAAATTAGACCAACCTGAGCCAAAAGTCAATATCAGGAAATAGGATAACATAGTTAGATTAGAAAAGTATAAGTACACAGCGAAAAAAACATTCAAAATTAGAGTGACTGTTAGATCTTGTTAGATAGTAATTGCTCAAATGCATTGTTTGTGATGTGTTTCAGTAAGAGACTACAAACGTTCTGTACTTTAAGCACTTGTTATCACAGTAGTCAGCCAATCACAAGGACATCACTTACGGTTCTGGTGGTTGCTTGGATGCACCAGAATCAAAAGTGCTGCCATCTTGGGAATCATGTTATAATCACTAAAGATTAAGGAACAACTATTTGACTTGCAAATTTAAAAAAAAATAATTCTATTTTTTTTTTTTTTTTTTTTTTTTTACTTCTGCATAGCATTGAAGGAAATAGAATAGTGTGATTATTTCTTGCGAACTATATTAAAGTCTCTGATGAATATAGTGTGTTATTTTTATTTGTTTTTATAAAATAATAGTTGAGCACCTGTTTATGTCCGGAAAAAATAACTGAGCTCCTAAACATTAAAAGAAAATGCTGATCTAGTTCAGGTTTCCAAACAACTGGAATGAAATATAATAAGTTATTTGTGACCTGATAGAAGATATATACTCACACATACTTTTCACTTATTTGCATGAATTATAGTTTTTATGATATTCAATACTTTTTCTGCAGGAGAGGCACACCACTGAAGTCTATTAAGCCAAATGAACCGGTCCGACGGGAGGGGCCAAAGGTAGGTTGGAAGTCATACTATTATGATCTTATTCACAGTCTTATTACAATAAAAAGCTGCAGATACAATACATACAATTGCAAGGCTTTATCTTGATTTGTATGATACGGAGAACTGAGAATCCAGATCTTAAGAGATCCAGATCACCATACTATTGAGCTGCTTGCGTACAATTACACATGAGAAAATGCATCTAAGCAAAGGAGTTTTCTGACTTGAAAAGTCCAGTTTCCACCCTTGCCAAACTAGTCTGGAATTTCATGGCTCCATCGTAGAGCCACCTGTGGCTATTACCAGTTATGTCCCTTCTTTTGACCAGATTCCGCCTCTCATATCACTTATAACGACACCGCATATTTACTTTTTCAGTTTGTGTATCTTTTATGTCTCTACAGAACTTTATTAGTGATCTAATGCAGGCATCATGTATACATGAAGTCTACTGCAGGGAATAATGCATAAAAAAAGTGCTACTTCTCACATCGATATTAATCACTGTATGTCTATGTGAAATTTGACACTCTTGTGCACATGCAAAGTAGATCTGGGGTAGAATAGGTCTTTAGCAACCCATACTTGCCCTAAAAGGCGCTTATACTTGTCGCCCAAGGTGATCGGGTGGTCAGGTTCGCTGACTTGGTTGATGCATGTCATCGATCCCAATTGCGTGGATGGATGCTCATGATATTAATCACTGGATTGTCTGGTCCAGACTCGATTATTTACAGACAGCTGCATATAGCTGGCATATTGCTGAGTGCGGCGTTAAACAACAAACCTACCGACCAACCAGATGCAAATTAAAAGTCATCTGAAGGGGCATAAAGGTTCACTCCTTGGATTAAGAGTACCGGTAACTAATAAACAGTATTAAAAAGGGAGTAAAATCGTTCCCGATGTAAGTACTCAGTGGTTGGTGTTTATCTGTAGCCCTCTTCAGGAACAAGAAACATATGTTTATAATCCTCCTGACATTCATATGCGTGAAGATCCAGGTTACAATTGATCTTCAGCAACCCATGCTTGTCCTAAGAGGCCATGAACATGATCAGGTGAGGTCGCTGGCTTGGTTGATGCATGTCATCGTACCAAAAATGCGTAAATCAATGTTTATGATGTCAAACACTGGATTATCTGGTCCCGACTCGATTATTACACACACAGCCATCATATAGCCGCGTGTGGCGCTTAACAACAAACAAATGAACAAATCCTAAAATTTGTGAGTTCTGATTATTATTATTTTACTTTCAGTGGGATCCGGAGAGAATTGTCACAGAAACCAAATTTGTGATGGGAGCAAGGGCTAACAAGTGAGTGAACAGATGTACAATCATCTCCTGTATGTTGCACTCTCTGTAGGTAAAGCGTTCGCTCGTCACACCGAAGACCCGGGTTCGATTCCTGACATGGGTACAATGTGTGAAGCCCATTTCTGGTGTCCCCCACTGTGATATTGCTGGAATATTGCTCAAAGTGGCGTAAAGCCATACTCACTCACTCTGTAGGGAGGGACAGGTGGCTCTACCGTGTAATGTGCTGTAATTCACTGTAATGACTGAGCTAGATCCTTCAGCTACTTGGATTAACATGTTATGGATCATATGAATGTTTCTGTGTCAGATTTCACCTGTGGTTGTACCAATGCTTGTTGTGAGAGGCGACTGAAGTGGAGAGGGCAGTCCGACTCTGTGACTTGTTAAAGCAGCATTTAACATTGTGTGATTTCAGAGCTCTTGGCCTTGGTGCAACTCGAGGACGACTGTACATAAAACACCCGGACATATTCAAGGTATGTTTCATGTCGTGTGAAGAAAGAGTTATCTGTTGGCATTAGGCAGCTGACAAGTCTGAGAGGGATATGATGAAGGTTATTCAGATTCAGTTTTGTTCCTGTTACCATGGTTACATGTTGATATATTAGCTCCTATTTATGTACAATATGGAACTGACTTTGTTGTATTTCTAGTGACTGTCTGAGGCGCCGTGATTCGCTGTGCATAGTTGCCTATGGTTGTGGGTTCGAATCCCGGTTCACCCCGATTATGTTTCTAGGTTTGTCAGCACCATACCTGTGCTCGTTGGTTTCACCGAAGTGGTAAACGTCTGAAACCTGCATCACTTTGGGCTTTCCTACCACATTAAGCTGACATGCCGTGATATAACTGGAATACTGTTAAAAGCGATGTTAAACCCAAATCACTCACTCACTTGACATCATCAAACTGTGGGTACATTAAGATTATGTGCACATGTTTCTATTAGGTTTAACAGCAATATGTCATTAATTTATGTACAGTCATCAGAGATCTATCTAGTTTTTCTTGTCAACATGCACCTGGTGCAAGTTAAATGAAGTTCCTTAAGTCGAGCCCTGTCACTACTAAGCTGTATCATTGATTGTAACACTGTCTGGTGCATCAGTACTCAGGTGACCAGGACGACAAGGCGTGGCTGTACGAGCATCACCTGATGCCTGCCACAGGCGGCAAGGCCTACATGTTGATGGTGGAGGACATACAGGACCTCAGTCGGACAGACGAGTACAGGTAGGACGTCCTCAAATGCAGTGTCAGACATCTGAGTGTTGTGTGTACACACACAGCAGGACATTGCTCGGTTATGGATACCGACAGCGTCAGACATCTCATTCTTTTGTACATACACTCAGCTATAATTCATGTCACACAGTTGTGTATTAGACACACAGCATTAGACATCTAAGATAGTTGTTTATTAACACATTCCACATTTCACAAAGGTGTACACAGTGACAGGACGTCTTGCACAGTTATGTATGCACAGAGGGACATCTTGTTAACTAGGGGGCGTTCGGGTAGCCTAGTGGTTAAAGCGTTCGCTCGTCACGCCGAAGACCCGGGTTCGATTCCCGACATGGGTACAATGTGTGAAGCCCATTTTTGGTGTCCCCTGCCTTGATATTGCTGGTATATTGCTAAAAGCGGCGTAAAACTATACTCATTCATTCATTCATTCTTGTTACCCATTTTGGACAAAAGTACACAAGTGAAGAATGTCTGTTTAAAAAGATATTGTTTTCAGCTATGTAGATGAGGTTACCATTTGGCCAGTGCATGTTAAATCAGGGTGTCGAATGTAGAATTTGGTTTCATTGGCAACAAATAAGGTTGAAACGGCGAAGGCATAGAAGGGGCAAGTAACTTTTGTGAAGATTTACTGTATCAATCTTCTTATGTCTATAGGATAAGATGGATATTGGATGGGTTTTTGTAACAGATGAAAGTCTTTATAGCTAAAATGTAGTCACGAATTATGATTAAATATTGATTGATGTATTTAACATCTATAAAAGTTGGCGGTGCTCATGCTTTGCAAATCCTGCAATCGACCAAAATCTGCACAGCAGTTTTCAAACCAGATGTCAATTTCATATCGCTATTTTGATTGGACTATGCATAGACTTGTTAGTCCAGCCAAATATATAACTCGGATAACTCCCTTGCCTCAGGAAGATGGTATTTAAAAGTTTTGTTCCACTTTAAACTGAACCACTTCCTTTTGGCCCAGTCATCATTATTATTTAAGTACATGTACAGTCCGTTTGACTCCAAATGAGAATGATGAATTGCAAAATAACTTGAAATCCAGAAACGTGTATGAAACATCAATACGGTACTTGACCATGAATACCCTGTACCCAACAAAATCTGAATTTTGTTTATTTTAAGACCCATGACGGATGAAGTTCTTTAAGAAACTATCATGTAATTTTGTATAGAAATGTGTACATGACACGTAGGGGGACAAACCGTGGAAGGAACAGCGCAAGCACGGTCTGCACGTGCTACACAGTGACCGTGTTCATTCAATGACAAGATGCGCTACTCAGCAGATGTTAAACAGTTGATGTTGAATGTGTATGATTTCTTTAGAAGTGAAGCAGAAAGAGCAAAGCCTTTTTATGTAATTAATAAATTCTTGAAACGAGCTTCAAAAGCTCTTGGTATGTCCCCTCAGAAACTTTAAAATGTTGTTAGTCGACGAGATACAAATAGTAAGGAGATAGGGAACATGTCAAAACCACGCAAGGTTGATAAATTAGACAGTTTTCAGAGGGATCAAGTCAGACGTGCAATTGTTAAACTGCACTCAGAAAATAAGTACCTGTCCCTAAGAATTTTGAAGAAACACCTTGAAACTGACCATGATTTATGTGTTACAAAGTACAAACTATGGCAGCTGTTGCATACATTTGGTTACAAATACACAAAGATAACTGGAGAAAATAGGGCTGTGTTGTGTGAACGGTCTGACATTGTTTGTCTCCGAAATCATTACCTTCATACCATCAAGCAGAAACATGAAGAAGGATATGAGCCCGTCTTCTTAGATGAGACATGGGTAAATGCGTCACACACAGCCAGCAGTCAGTGGGTACCCAGTGGTGACTGTAAGGAGTCTGGTAGAAAGTTACCAATGGGAAAGGGTGAAAGACTCGAAGTTCTCCATGCTGGTTCTGCTAGTCAGGGTTTTCTCCCAGACTGTGAACTCGTCTTTAGAGCCAAGGCCAAAGACAACAGGGACTACCACACAGAAATTACAGCAATGTATTTCTGGAGTGGGTGAAAGATACATTAGTCCCTGCTTTGCCTACCAAGCCTCTCACTGTCATGGACAATGCACCGTATCATAGTGTGCAGGATCCAGAAAGCAAGACTCCAACCTCTAATAACCGTAAAGGAGACATAGTTACTTGGCTGCAACGGAGGAACATAACCTTTCCTTCTCGAGCGACGAAACCACAGCTCTATGAAATCATCAAAACTATGAAACCTGACCCCGTGTATAAAGTTGACAGTTACATCAAGGGTCAGGGTCACGCTGTCTTACGACTGCCACCTTATCACTGCGGCCTGAATCCAATTGAGTTGGTATGGGGCATCGTCAAGGGTGACGTTAGACGATCGAACACAACGTTCAAATTAAGAGACGTTGAACAACTCGTAAAGGAATCCCTTGGTCGGGTAACAGTAGAAACATGGAGGCGTTGTGTGGCCACAGTCGTTGACGAGATAGAGCCATGTTATTGGTCACGAGATGGACTACGGCCAGCAACAGTCCAACCTATAATAGTGGCAGTCGGTTCAGGCACCAGCAGTTCCGACGACGAGATCTATGGCATGAGTGAAATTATCATGAGACGGCCCCCCTAATGCTCTGTCATTTCCCCTACCACAGAACGTGCAGTGCATGCGTGCTTGCGCTGTGCCTTCCACGGTTTGCCCCCCTATGTGTCATGTACACAACTTCATCCGTCATGGGTCTTAAAATAATCAAAATTCAGATTTTGTTGGGTACAGGGTATTCATGGTCAAGTACCGTATTGATGTTTCATACACTTTTCTGGATTTCGAGTTATTTTGCAATTCATCGTTCTCATTTGGAGTCAAACGGACTGTAAATGAGAATCTTCTGAGGAGAGAATTTCGACCCATAGTGCCTTTTCCCCTGGAGCTCTGTGTTCCCAGTTTTTGTTTGAGAAGCCTGCATGTGTATTATAACAGCCTTTAAAATCCATGTTATGCCCCTAGTCCGATACTGCTAAATCGTGCTGAGGACAAGTAAAAATCCAGTGACAGTTGTCCTCATTGATCTGAACCAGTTCTCAAGGCTTCAATGTTGCTACAATATAAAACTGACCTAGTAAAGCAGATAGAAAGTGCAGTGAGTGAGTGAGTATGGTTTTACGCCTCTTTTAGCAATATTCCAGCAATATCACGGTGGGGGGACACCAGAAATGGGCTTCACACATTGTACCCATGTCGAGAATCGAACCCGGGTCTTCGGCATGACGAGCGAACACTTTATCCACTAGGCTACCCGACCGCCCAGATAGAAAATGTAAACATGGCAGACCTTTGATGTTGTTAAAGCAGGACTAGCTACAAACTCGGAGGACAAGTGAAATCAGGTCCCCACTAGCACTCTAGATTAGTCTGTAAAAAAACAAATTTCTAAGGCTGTGTTACCTGTATTGTGTCCAGGGACAGCCCCAACCTGTTGATGGATGAACTGTATGGGTTCACCGTGCCCGACTGGATCCTCGCCAAGATGAAGATTCAGATGAATGCCATGAGGACAGATGTCAGCCGGGCCAAGTTCCACCGCAGTCGCTCGGGCACTCCAACTGACATGACTGCATACAGGGTAGGTTGAAGGGACTGCATTCAGGGTAGGTCATAGTGAGTGCATCATTCATAATGACTGCATAAAGGGTAGGTCATAGTGAGTGCATCATTCATAATGACTGCATACAGGATAGGTTGAAGGGACTGCATTCAGGGTAGGTCATAGTGAGTGCATCATTCATAATGACTGCATACAGGGTAGGTCATAGGGACTACATCATTCAGACCTGACTGTATTCAGGGTAGGTCATAGCAACTGCATACAGAGTAGGTAATAGGGACTGCATCATTCAAATTGCCTTCATACAGGGTAGGTCATAGGGACTACATTGAGGGTAGGTCATAGCCACTGCATCATTCTTACCCGACTCTATTCAGTGTAGGTCATAGGGACTACATCATTCAGACATGATTGTTCAGATAGGTCATAGGGACATAATTCAGGATAGGTCATATGGACTGCTTCATTCATACCTGACTCTATTCAGTGTAGGTCATAGGGACAACATCAGTCATATCTGACATCATTCAGGATAGGTCGTAGAGACTACATCATATATCATAAATGCCATACATTGAATCGCTGAAAGTCATACTTGTTGTATCAGCTGAACCAAAGTGCTACGCTTATGGTTATTAATTTATTTCACACATATATAGTAAAGCTGCAACTACACATGATTTTGGAATAAATTTTTCCTGACAAAATAATAGTTTCAGATACAATTCTTCCGCTCATTGTATCAAAATTCTTTAAAGTTATATTATTGGCAAAATCACCGGTAGATTCCGAGAAAAGTGTATACAGCTGATTGCTACTTCCGGCTCAGGTTACGAGACAAGACGCACGGTAATCTTAATCTCTGCATATAAAACAATGCCAATCAGAACAGGAAATACAATTTATGTAACAGCGGTACTCTGGTCCTCTCAAAGATAAGGGAGTTTTTGTTGGGTTCAAAGGGATTTATTTTCAATGGGCGTAGAGTGAGAACTTCACGATAGTCCGGATCTGCCCTAAAACATACATAATTTGATATAAATATCATGGGTATGGACAGTATAAAGGCACTAGATAACAGCAATACAAATAATACATTTAGATCTATAGTTCCTTACTTTTGGCATATATATATATGAACAAATCCTTCCAGATAAAACAAATTACACTCTATGTATAGTTAATCATGCATAATTAATAAAACATAAATAGCATACCTTATCTCAGGGACGCAGGCTCGACTTTCTCTTACAGACGTATAGTGAATAGCCATGCACAAATAAGTAAACTACATACATATATACTATAACTAGAGTTACACTAGCATGTATGGAATACAAGCTTTATAATTGCTATTAAATGCTATTAAATACTATTAAATACTATACATATATACATATATACATGATACATATACATATATCTCATCTAATCAGTTTATATCCATTTTAAAAAATGTACACTTGGCTAATACCTCAGTCAAATACACAGTTAAGTTGAATTAAGAACACATTACAATGTCATAATACAATGCTAGCTAAAATACTATATCCAACAACAATGCTTAAAATACATAGTAACCTAAGCTTCCAGATAAAAAAAGTAAGAATTAGATGAACTTACCCTGTATGATTCAGTGTAGAGAACATGCTGAGAAATATGTGCTGACTGACCAGTAGAAGTTGTGATCAGGGTATCCACCTGATGCAGAGAACATGCAAAAAAGCTTGATAACAAAGAGCACCCAATCACAGGCCAAGCCCTGAACGACCCAGTGACAATAGCCATGAACCTAAGAACGAAATGGTTGAACTACCCAAGCTTACCTGTGAATTAGTAGATTTGTGCAAGTGCTGAAGTTAACACAAGTATTTAGGAAAATAAATGTTAAATATTTAGGTTAGCTTATTGATTTAATTCATGTTTGGTTACTATAATGATACTATAAAATCTAACAATATTCTATTTACAAGCATACTGCTACATTTAATTGGCTAATCATTATGTTTAGTGATGTTTTATCTCACATTTGTATTGACCAAGTTTAATTGATATAATCTGTTCCGTTTCCCTGAATTCGCTAAGGGCTACGATGTAATTATACCCCTGTTTACGAAGTAAATTGGGGGTATATAGCGTTCCGTTCATCCGTCCGTCCGTCCGAGCTTTTGTACGGCCCATAACTTTTTAACCATGCACCCTAGTTTCACCAAACTTGCTACACACATTTACCACAATGAGTACTTGTGCCTTTTGCTAGTTTTAAGATTCTGAACTTTTTAAGTTTTGCCGTTTCCATGGAAACATTAAGAAACTTAAACTTTTAGGGTGGGTGTTTTGTACGGCCTATATCTTTTTAACTATGCACCCTAGCTTCACCAAACTTTCTCCACACATTAACCACAATGAGTACTTGTGCCTTTTGCTAGTTTGAAGATTCTGAATTTTTTTATTTTTGCCGTTTCCATGGAATCATTGTGAAACATAAATTTTGGGTAGAGTTTTTGTACGATCCATGTTTACAATATTATGTATCCTAGCTTCAGCAAACTTGCTACATTAACCACTATGATTGTTTTTTATCTTTTATAAGATTCTGAAAGTTTTCTCTTTTGCTGTTTTCATGGAAACATGATGGAATTTAGAAATTTTGATGACTGGTTTTGTATAGCTAATATATTTTCCAAAATTGTTTCCACACATGTAGATCATCATCAGTATCTGTGCTTTGTGTTAGTTTGAATTTATGAATTCTTTACCATATCTGTTAAGGCTAGATGGAAATTATTAATTTGTTGATTTTCTTATATGATATTGTTCCATTTTTTATGTGTTTTTAGGTCCTTTTGATAATTCTTCTTATGTAACTCCTCAATCAAATTTGTATTCAAAGGTGTTCATGGTGATCTACTTCCTCGTAGTGAACACTGGTAACATGGTAGATTTTGGGGGGGGGCAATTGTCACTTGAACTCAATCTTAGTTTTTAAAACATTGAAGTTAAAATCAGTTAGAAATATGTAATATTTCATTAATTAACAAACTATTTACTATTTGTTGTTGACCAGCGGGGATAACGGGGGTATGTGAGCTTTGCTCACTTCTTTCTTGTTTTTTTTCTGCGGAAGACAAACACATTTTTATTGCTAATGTAGAGATTTTGTATGCACTAGTGATGTGCTATATTCCGATTCGCTTTAAAGCCGGAGTATATAAATTAGCATCGATTTCCTGCTTATTTTACGAGACAAATAACCTCTGCATTGTCCCTCATACAGTACACAAATAACATTGAATTTGTATTTGAATACCATCATCATGTCTAGTGATGTTTTATTGCAAATTTAATGTTTTCATTGACCAAATTTGCAAACAGCAAAGCAGGCACATTAACTCCTATTGCCCCCATGACCATAACCCACAAGATGCGTAGTAAAGCAGTGCACATGAAAAGGGAAGTAACTGCGGAACATTTAAGGATTTTTTTTGTTTTGAAAATGGAAATAAAAACGAAATGTGCGGCAGACTTTATGATGATGCGGCGGTGCCTGAGAACCAGGTTTTTTTGTTTTTTTTAGCTTGACTGAAAAATGTTTGCTATAATTATGTTTTCATTCTAAAATACAGAATGAGAGTGATGTCCCTTTCAGAGACCTGTGATGAAGTTTTCAATACTGTTGTGATTGCAATTTTTTGCAGGTCTATAAACGTGTAACACTGGTATTAAAAGCATTCCCTCTGAGGAAGCACCATTTGTTAAAATCGGAATTGTCTTCTTGCAGGAAATGGAGGAGGAACCACCCAAGGCGCTTCCTTTCTCCAATTTCAGTGATAACACCTCCACATATCCCACGTCGAAGTCAGACATTCAGGTAATAAAGCAGCCATAGACTGAGTCTATGTTGTTTTACGCAACACCCAGAAATAATCCAGCTTTATCATGGTGGGATGCAAATAATTGAGGCTGGTCACCTCCCATTTGCCAGACAGCTTGTAACAAAACCCTCAGTGAGGATCAAACTACTGAGTATGACCTCCCATTGGTGAGGCTCCAGTTACACTTGACAAGAGCGTGTTTTCATCCCCCCGGCATATAATGCGGGGGATATAGCGATCAGCCAGTCTGTCTGTCCGTCCGTCCGTCCGTCCGTCCGTCCGTCCGTAATCATTTCCTTTTCCGGGGCAGAATTCGAAAACCATTCAGTGTATTTGATCGAAACTTGGCAAATCTATCAGGCACATACTGAAGTGGTGCCTTTTGATATTTTGGGATTTTTCTAATTTTTATTTTTTTAAATTTTTATGGAATGAAGTTGGACATAGACTCAATTGGGGATGGGGTTCGTTTCCGGGGCAGAATTCGAAAACCTTTCAGTGTATTTGATTGAAACTTTGCAAAGCTATCAGGCACATACTGAAGTGGTGCCTTTTGATATTTTGGGATTTTTCTAATTTTTATTTTTTTAAATTTTTATGGAATGAAGTTGGACATAGACTCCTTTGGGAACGGGTTCGTTTCCGGGACAGAATTCGAAAACCATTCAGTAGGTTAAACAATGTATGCTTCTAAAAGAACATTCAACTGTTGACTCATTACATACAGAATTGCACATTTACTAGTGGTTACTTTACAGACAGCTGCCGGGGGGATATGTCGTCTTTCTGATGACTCTTGTTTTAATTGGAAATATCAATAAAGCATGTATAAACTGTATTTATCATCCAAAACTGGCCTACTATTTACAAACTCCAAATGCTGGAAGAAGAATGTTGGATGATAAATATAATCTTGCACTCATGTCTTTTGATATCAAATATATGAACGCTTTATATATGAACATATATAAACTCATGTAAATATATTTGAGACCTGTGAAGGAGTTAGAAAAGGTCTTCAGCATCCCATGCTTGCCGTAAAAGGAAACTATGCTTGTCATAAGAGGCAACAAACAGGATTGGGTGGTCAGGCTCGCTGACTTGGTTGATGCATGTCATCGTATCCCAATTGCGTAGATTGATGCTCATGATGTCAATCACTGGATTGTCTGGTCCAGACTCAATTATTTACAGACTGCCATCATATAGCCTGAATAGTGCTAAGTGTGGCGTTAAACAACAAATAAACAAGCAAGATATATTTTGATATCATCTATATATGTTTGAGTAAAGACAAAGCTTCAGTCAACTTCAGTGAACACATGATCTGATTGTTTGATACATGTATCTAAATAGTTTTAGCTAGGGCTGCGGTAAAACAATAACCAATCAGACATTTTGTTCCCTTCTCTTGAGACTTGCAGTGGGTACCCGGGTAGGGTCGGGTTATAGGGGGTCGGGTACCCTGGTAGTAAATTTGGACTCTTCCAAGGCCTACATGACATCAATGTTATGAACACTAGCTCATTAGAGCTTGTCCATTTATTAGAGGGGGTTGGGTTGGGTGGGGGGTGAGATCGGTCTCAGGACTAGCATAAGTTGCTACATCTTCTCAAATTGGTCTTTGGACCAGTTGCAAAACTTTGCGTCTACTTTAATTACCTGTCTCTTTATGTAAGTGTTTAAATCTACTCAAATGCCACAGTGTTGATAAGGCTGAATGTTAAGCTTGGTCCCAACTAGGGTGTCTTTTCATAAGAAGTGCTGGCACCACAGTTATTGACGTATCATTGTGTAAAATTGTAAAGCAAGTATGCATATTGTGTGTGAACATATTTTACCCAACATATTGTTTGAATGTTTTGATTTAGGACCCGTGTTTGACTTGTATGATTTAAATTTCAAATAGTTTGACTTTTGATGTTGCAGGTATTCCAGAACTATGAGGTGAGCTACAGTGCCTGTTGGAACTACTTAAATAACTTGTGTCAGACCTTGTCAGATAAGACCTTAGAGGCAAGGAAAACACCACGTATTTGGCAAAGAAGTAGATGACAAATTAATTTTTGTGTTTTACTTACCCGGCAGACAAAAACCTGTTTTTTTAGGGGGGTTTTCCACTTGAAAAAACATACTGATCATACAGGCAGATCTGTGATCCATGTGTTGAAAATGTCCGCCTTCATAGAAAAGTGGAAAATTCAGTCTCTAACCAAGTGGGCACAAATAGTCCGGGAAAATGAGGATGTGTGTCCCAACATGCGTAGCGCAGCTTGACTCTCAATGCAGGGATGAGAGTTTTCAGCAGGTCTTGGGGAATTCCACCGAGTACATAACGTCAAAAGTCGTTTTTGAGATACATGCCATTACTTTAAAAAAATTTTTGATAAACCCATTTTCATCCCTGTCAATGGCCTGTTCAGCAAACAGTATTCCTCATCATTTCATGAACACCCGGCCCATGAAGATCCGGGGTAGAATAGGTCTTCAGCAACCCATGCTTGCCGTAAAAGGTGACTATGCTTGTCGTAAGAGGCGACTAACGGGATCACGTGGTCAGACTCGCTGACTTGGTTGATGCATGTCATCAATCCCAATTGCGTGGAACAATGCTCATGATATTAATCACTGGATTGTCTGGTCCAGACTGGATTATTTACAGACCGCCGTCATATAGCTGGAATATTGCTGAGTGCGGCGTTAAACAACAAACCAACCAACCAATCATGAACACCTTCTGGGGTAAATCAGCCCAGCTGAAATATAGTCAAGCAGGGGGCACGGTCGCCCACTCGTCTATGGTTCTGCAATTCTCTGTGCAGACTTAAGTCCCTTAGACACACCAGAAACCTATGATCGTGGTTCGAATCCCAGTTCGCCTTGATTATGTTCCACTAAAGTGTGAACATCTAAGACCTGCATCAGTTCAGGCTTTCCTCCCCCATCTAGCTGACAACCCCTGATATAACTGGAATACTGTTCAAAGTGGAGTTTAACAAACTCACACACTCAATATTGTCAATCTATGTCGTCCCTATTCTTTGAATGTTTGCAGAGCATAACCTCTGCTTTTGATCTCTGTCAGTGGATACGTGTCAGGGCGCCAGATGCAGCACAATTCAATGTGCCAAGTTACACCCTCAGGCTTACCAGAAACCTGTGATTGTGCTTTCAAATGTATTTCCCTCAGTTTCCTTGGTAACACTCTTATTCTGTTATCCTTCAGATATCCCCATCAGCTGGTGATGATATGGAGTTCCTGTCCACTGCTGATAACGACTCGGCCGCGCCCGATCTCTCCCCCTTTAACGTCACGGGGGGGTTTGACGACACAAACTCTCCCTCCCCTGAAGTCGACAATTTAGACGACCCGACCTTCGTCTTGAAGTAAATCATCCACCAGAGAATTAACTTGAATCATTCTATCCTATATTTTTGCAATAGTGTTGACAGTGCAATTGTCCCTTGCTTTGTATGCTTTCTCAAGTCACGATGACGTCGTAATTAAAAATGAATGGTTTTCCGACTTTCGTTGTACAAATTCGAACAAAAATTCTTGTGTGCCATATTCCTGTTACCATGGTTACTGTTGAACTTGTCAAATTGTACATCTTCATTAGAACCCTTGTGCATCTGTCTTTTTTAAATATTTTCATCTTTAACACCTGTTGTGTTTCCAATCTTGCTGATTTACACCAAAATGTACATGTTTGTTTTTCATAAAAAATTCACTGGATTTTTTCGTAATAGATGAATTATGAATGGTGTCAAGATACATGTTTCTTCTTGTTGATGAATTGGGTTTATAAGCGTATGCAGACAATATTCAATGATTGAAGTATTATGCATCTTAAATTTAAACTGAGGCTATTCCAGTTCAAAGAATATGAATTAGTAATAGTGAATGAAATTAAAAGCATGTAATTTCCCTGATTTATCTCACCTGAGTTTAATTCAGGGGTATTAAAGGGTCGTTATCGTTCATCCAGGTAACTTTATTCTGGTGCTGTCATTATTTCATGTTATTCACTTATATATTTGATAATGAGACATTGTTGACCAGTAGGAAATAAGTTTTTAAGAGTATTTACACAAGAATAATAGGACCAACTGCTTTTTAATGAGCTTTGATCACCACATTGTTTGCTAACATTTGAACATTGACGTCATAATGTACTACCAACAGGCTAGACACTGTTGGGCAAATCCAGCTAGTCCACAGCTAATTTCGGACTAGTTGATTATGTAAAATAGCAAGAAAAAAAAAACCCGACTAGTCCCTCTAGATTTTCACTATAGTCTCGCCCCTGACATGAAATATCGTGATTATTATTTAATGAAGACAGGTACGTGTGTTCTATTACAAACAAACTGTTCATTACCAGCATGAATTGAAAGAAAACAACATGCACATGTACTATTTAAAGACCTATTGACCTAGGGGGGCACAGGTGGCCCAGTCATCAAAGGCACCGCGATTCGCTGTGCAGAGTTGCTTCCCTTGGGCACGCCAGAAACCTGTGATTGTGGGTTCGAATCCCGGTTCGCCCCGATTATGTTTCTAGGTTTGTCGGCACCATACCCGTGCTCGTGGGTTTCACCGAAGTGGTAAACGTCTGAAACCTGCATCACTTCAGGCTTAAGCTGTCACGCCGTGATATAACTGGAATACTGTTAAAAGCGGCATTAAACCCAACTCACTCACTCACCCTAATGACCGAGTTTGAGGCTCTACACTATAGCTGCTCACAATCACCTGACTGCCTTGCCTTACCCGAATTGTAACTACGTGATCAGAACTCTAATGATCGCTAACAAAATGAATATTTCTTGAACAGCACACTTTGCAATTTTTGTCATTAGAAGCAAGTAATATTCCTTATCGCCGTAATGACTTGTTTATGCCGCTATCTTCATGCATTAATAATCACGATATTTCACGATATTTCAAGTGTCAAGGTCAAAATTCCAGGACTAACAAACAAGCGGCCATGTCTATCTCTGGCCATATAACATGATCTTTGATTAAGGATCAATCAGGTAGATACTCATCCCCAAACAATTCAACTGTTACTTCAAGAAATTATTTATCAATTGTTAACGGGGTTAGTTTGTTGAACATTTTTAAAGGACTGTTTAACTGTTTTATCATCATTGCTCAGTATTCGTAGTTAAGTTGCTATATAAGTGCTTGTACAAGACAGACATTTATTATAACGGTTTTACAGAATCAGTGTAAATGTTTGTTGTAGGTTCTTTTCTATGAAACCATGTTATCTGTTTCTTGAAAATGTATTTGTTGTGTAACGATTGTTGTAAGATATTCTCGTGTACATATGGATCTGAATTACTCGGTCATTTTGGTGAAATCGTGGTTTAATTCCTCACCTTGTACATTCTTACGATGTTAATAGCACTAATACGGTTTGTAGTGAAAAGAAAATATATTTATCTAAATACTTTGTATGATGTGTCATTGTATGGGCATCAACCCCCCCCTGGCCTTTTGCCTATTTGTATATAGCTAACGACTCCTGACAGTTAACATATAGATGTAACTACTAACTATCTATCATCAATTCATACATTCTCATTCGACATTTGTTTGCACGATTTAGGTTTCTAGATGTAGCATTCCCTTTAGCCATTACTGTATAGAGCTGCACATCGATCTCATCAAAATCAGATCTAAGTTCTCGCTGCCACTAAGCAAAGATCTGAGGACATCCCATTACGGGTCACGTCAGAACGACCTTTCGCGAACTTTGTCTGACCACTGAAGTGACTAACAAGAAGTCGTCATCAGCCAATTAGAATGCAGCTTTCTTGAGCTTTACAACACTCGTTTCAACCTGGCGACTTCCATTTCAGACAACGCTTGAAAAATATGTTGACACAGTTCTCGATTAAAATTTTGAAAACTGAACAAATGAACATTCTGGATATCTATTATATGGTTGCGATTGTATGGCAGTGCTTCTCACATACTGTGCAATGCCTCCTGCATTTAAATGTTTATCCCACGGAAGCGAGAGATAGATGATAATTTTGACGGAATCAGTCGTAGGGGCCGTAATTGTCGTTTGGAATACCCCATGTTAACGTTTTCGAGGTTGCATGATTAGAAAACATTCCGACTGTCATTTTCATGATCTGGTAAGCGACGCTTTGATTGGTCGGATGAAAAGTCGTTCTGACGTGACCCATAATGGGATGTCCTCAGATGTTTGTTTAGCGATTGCGAGAACTAAGATCTGATTTTTTATGAGATTGAGCTGCACGTTTGTTGATGCAGCGTTAAACAATAATCACTCTCTCCCACCTTCAGCAAATCAGGCAATGTTCAAGCATCTTCAAGCATCTTCAAGCATGTTCAAATGAAAAGTGCAATAGAAGTAAGTAGTTTATTATTATTTCAGGGGAGTGGGGTAGCCCAGTGGTTAAAGCATTCGCTCGTCATGCCGAAGACCAGGGTTCGAGTTCCCCCAAAAGGGTACAATGTGTGAAGCCCATTTCTAGTGTCCCCAGAATGATATTGCTGAAATATTGCTAAAAAAAGTGATAAACCATACTCACTCACTTATATTATTTCAGTTACACCGTTTGTAATTTCATTTGTGCAATCCTCACAAAGTCAAGTACATTCTTGGGTCACATTAGGTATTTGGCTTCAGTATGTGTCACAATCTTCATCAAAGCTGGCATTGCTTGGTTTTAGAAAATTAGTTGTAAATGTCCTTCTCTCTAAAGATCCCCCCCCCCCATTAGCTAAAGTGTATTTATTGCAGAATGTTTTAGGGAATTTTAAAGTCTATGTTTGGCAATAACATCAAGAAATTGTTTTTCCATCACGATTTTAATTTTTTTGTTTCATTTGATTAACTTATGAATGAGTTTTACCAAATGTGACGGAAATATTGAATATGGCTCTAGTCAGGACTACAGTATCTGGTTAAAGACAAGAATATTCATTACACACAACATATCGTTTCAGACAATACTTGAATGATGCTTAACTTTTTCAAATAAGAAAGGTTTGCTGACAGCATATTTTGAGAGTGCAAGATCAAATTTGCATGGTCTAATTGACTGCGGATGGTCATTCCTGAATAAATAATTTATTCCCAGGCACTGACCTAAAGAGCATGAGACTATTAATACACGCAAATAAATTCTTTCTGTTCCATAAAATGGAGATAGAGACTGTCAAATGATATTTTTCAATTCATTTTTTTAATGAAATAATGAAATGGGTTGACAAAATAGTTTATATTTATTTTGGAATGAGGATTAGGTCATGCTGTTTTGGCAGATTTCTTCCTAATAATGGATAATTGTTCCTCGTCATTAGATATTTAATGTGAGTTGAAATGTCTGTTTTTGTGATAATGGTCCCACTGAAGTGCAATGCCACTGTCAAACAAAACAGGATTTCTGAAGTTCAAATGCGATGCAAACTGTTTATCTTTGTGCTAGATTGTGCCAAATATTGACTCGCATGGAAGGACTTTCTCGCAGGGTACAGAGTGAAATTGTTTGGTGGTTATCTGTGGATATCTTTGACAATGAACTTATCAGATCTGTTCTGTTGACGCTCCCATTAGCTGAAGGTCAGAAATATTGAATTTTTTTGCTGATGAATGAGCAGTGAATATTCAGTTTAATACTGCCGCAGATGAAATAATTTGCTATCTTCTTTTCATTAAGTGTTAAAAAAAAAAATACTCTTTAATTTAGAATTAAATATGACATGAATCATGACATTTGACTCCCAGAATGTATTGTATAAGTACACACCCATCACGTATCATTTCTTGGAGATATATTTATATCATTTTGTGCTATGTTTTGTTTGTAGTAATTGTTCTATTTATATTTACATTCACGAAACAATATTAAAAGAATTGCTGCTCTCAAACACAAATTACATTGACTCCCCAAGCAAAGGAAAAGTTGAACAAATTATTCTATCTGTTGAAACCAGGATTTGCTTGTTATCTTGTATAAGTTAGCGGTTAGACACCATTTGGCTAAAAAATAATAGTCTTGGTTCTCTGGCACCACCTGCATTATCATAAAGTCTGCCGCACGTTTTGTTTATATTTCCTTTTTCAGAAAAATAAAACAAATCCTAATACCGTATTCGACGAAATAAGCGCCCCGCTCTAATAAGCACCCATGGCGATATTTGCTAATATATTGGCTAGTGAACAATCCCAATTAGCACCCCTTCCAATTGATCAATGTACACAAGACTTATTTATTCATGTATAATACACACTCGTGTGTTATATGCACCCTTAATTAAGGGGAATTTAATTCTGGAAAAATATATCTGTCGTACATAAACATTTTAGGCGGTCAGCATAAACCACGAAATTAATCTTTCAACTCTGTTTTTTTTTTTACCAAAATATTATTCTAATAAGGGCCCCCTATTCCTAATTCTGAGAGCGCCCTGGGCGCTTATTAGGTCGAATACGGTACTTGAAAAGAATGTGGTCCAATGTGGCACACAGTTACTTCCCTTTACATGCGCACTGCTTTACTGTGCCTCTCGTGTTATGGTCATGGCAGCAATAGGCGTTAGTATGCTTGTTTATGTAGGGAGGTCCTTTCCCAGGTTGATGTTACAACTGTTTATTTGGTTACATACTAATTTGAACAAGCAAAACAAAACAAAAAATACCATCAGCCCGCACTATATTTTCAAAAGTCATTGCCTGAGAACCAATTCTTTTACTTCTTTTTAAGCATTATCTTCTGATCATAGGATGGGCAATGGGGTAGCCTCGTGGTTAAAGCGTTCGCTTGTCACACCAAAGTCCTGGGTTCGATTACCCACATGGCTACAATGTGTGAAGCCCATTTCTGGTGTTCACTAATGTGAGTCGGGTGGCCTAGTGGTTAAAGCGTTCGCTTGTCACACCAAAGTCCTGGGTTCGATTACCCACATGGCTACAATGTGTGAAGCCCATTTCTGGTGTTCACTAATGTGAGTCGGGTGGCCTAGTGGTTAAAGCATTCGCCCGTCACACCGAACACCTGGGTTGGATTCCCGACATGGCTACAATGTGTGAAGCCCATTTCTGGTGTCCCCCGCCGTGATATTGCTGGAATATTTCTAAGAGTGGCGTGAAACCGAACGAACAAACTCGGATCATGGGTTTGAATGTAGAGTGACCTGGGCCCACTTTCACAAAACGATCTTAGCGCTAAGACTATTGTAAGCCTATGCTGAAGTATGGGAGTTACGATCATCTTAGCGCTAAGATCGTTTTGTGCAAGTGGGCCCTGGACAAGTTCCTTAATCTGCCCACAGCAAAGTGCTGTATGTCTACAACTCTCATCACTGAGAAATGTGATAAAAGTGATGTTCAAGAAACTGAATAGGCAATCATAAGGAGCTGGCTCATTCAACTGTGCTATAACATTCATGAATTCATTGATTCATTGAACATGTTTTGTTCTGGTTCATGTTCATCAGATACAGATTTCAGGATCTGTCTGAAAACAGCTTCACATTGTCACCATCAACTAGCGGACAATATGGTAATTCCAGA